AAAAAAAAAAATTTGTCCCGACATCTTATCTTCTATGTGCAAATGGCTGTCGAAAATTTAAAAAAAAATGTAATGTTTGCGATAAAAATTACATTTTATCGGGATGTTTTTTGTACTTAAAACTGCCATAACTTTTTCAAAAATGAACAAATAAAAATAATATTTTTTTGTATTGAAACCTTAGATATTTCCCTTTCATTTGATATAATTTTTTTTGAAAATCTAACACTTATTCTGCTCACTGGGAGGATTTAAAATAGTAACTTTTTTACAAAAAATAACTTTTTCAACTTAATTTTTGAAAATGTTCCGGAAATACTGCGTCCTTTAAACATATATAAAATTAAAGCTTATTTTATGTACTATAAAATGAAAAAAAAAAATTTGTCCCGACGATCTATCTTCTATACGCAAATGGCTACCATATTGAAAAATATACTATTTTTGTATGATAATTATGGGTTTTGTATTTTATTTTAATAGAAGTTGATGTTGCTTTTGCAATTATCCATCAATTTTTTAAAATTAAACACTATCTACAGATTTGCATCGAAGCGTTCCTTATGATAGTGATTTTAATCACTGTCAGATTAAATCTATACTGGACCCTACTATGCAATGTCTCCACTATGCTGCGACCCCACTGTGCTACCGTTTTTTTATTTATTTATTAATTTTTGTGTCCGTTACCACTTTTTATCGGCTCTCGTCGAACAGATTTCTTTCAACGATACGTCAAAATATCACAAATCATATCTAGTCGAAGACTTAACCCTCAAAAATTGTAAAAATTTCCCTCATTCCCGTAAATGGAGGAAATCTCCAAAAAAATTACAAGTTTGAAAATCACTAATTTTTGATATTTTTTTTAATTTTTTTTACTTAAAATAGCCATAACTTTTTTTAAAATAACCAAATCAATATAATTTTTTTTTTTAAGATACCTTAGACATTTACCTATTATTTGATATATTATTTTTTATAAATCTAACTCTTTATCTGCCCACAGGTAGGCATTCAAAATCACAAATTTTCTACAAAAAATTAACTTTTTCAATATAATTTTTGAAAGTGTTCCGGAAATACTGACACTTTTATATATTTTTTTTAAATTAAAGCTTATTTAATATACTTTAATATGAACATTAATGATAATAAAAAAAAAATGCGGTTTTTGTAAAAAATTCTTTTTTATATTTTTAATTTTATAATGCTATACATTTTTGAAAATGTATGGATCATTATACTATTTATATACTTCTTTCATTTGACATACTTTTTTTAAAAATCAGATCATTTTCCTTTATATATTTATATATTTATATATTTATATATTATTCATATATTACACTTATATATCATAAAACTTGTAATCAGGATATAAATAAGGAAATAAGAGATCATTTTAATCATAATCAGTTTTGTATACTGGACCCAACTATGCTACATCCCCATTGTGCTGGGTTTTTTAAAATTAAACACATTCTTTTTCTTTTTTTAAGATATTAAAATTTTTAACTATAGAAAAGACGAGGAATTGATCTTTATCGAAATACTCTCATATTTGTTTTGAATTCATTTTTATTAATAAAAATATTTCTTTTTATACAGTATTTAATAAACACTTCTAAAATAGATGATATCATAAACGGGACAACTGTGTAGGCATCAAATTTTGCTCCACAAAACAACTATATCGTTTAACATTACATAAATCCATGTTATTATCGATAACCAAAAAATAACTTTTTCTAATAATATTATACATTATTACATTGCTTGATAAAATATTTGCATGACTCCTCTAAATACGCCACTTGTCATAAATAATGATATTTGCCTTGTTCTCATTAAAGCCGACTAATAGCTAATTTAAATTTATTTAAAAAATTACATTTTATAAAATATTAACTTGCAAAAGATATTAAGAAATTAGATGTATTTGGAAATTACTTTACTGATAAAAAAAAATTTGTTTTCTTTATGACTTTAAAATTTAATTTGTCATTTTTAAATTTTAGACTAAATACTTTTTAATTGTAAAATTTTTTTTTTTCAGAATAATAGCTTTAATCGGGTTAGTTTTAATTTCGATAGGTACCGGTGGAATCAAACCATGCGGCTGTACTTTAGGTGGTGATCAATTTAAATTACCAGAGCAACAAGAACAACTAAAGTATTTTTTTAATAGATACATCATCGCTATTTACATAGGTGCAACTATTTCTACTTTTATAACACCTGAACTACGAAATACTGTACATTGTTTTGGAAAAGATTCATGTTTTCCTTTAGCATTTGGTGTACCAGCTATCCTCATGATTTTAGCAATAAGTAATTATAGTTAAATATAAATCATATTATAAATATTAAACTATACTATAAATTATATAAGAATTTTTATACCAATTATTATCATTAAGTCCAGTATAAGCAAAAAATACATTCATGTATGCACTCACTTTATGTTTAAAGAATGATGAATTAAAATTTTTATCTCTTACTTATCGCTTATCTATATTTTAAATCTTATATAGCCCCTGAATTATGTATGTATATAATTATTATTATTATTTTTTTTTTTTAAGAACGTTTATTAGAAAATTAACAATCTATACAGCTATATGTACAATAAGTAAATATGTGAATAGGAATAAAATAGACAATGATATGGCGGTGAGGAAGAAGCTCACATTAGAGCCACCTGTGTATTATTAATTTTAAGTGGGTTAAATAATATTGAGAAGGTCTCTTGACCAGTTGCGTTTGAGGCGTCTGTTTGGATTGCCCGGAAGAATTGTTGAATGTAGCTGAGTAACGAGACGGTTTGGATGGGATTGCATTTTGGAATGTAGTCTTTTGTAGTATATGTGTGCAGTTTTTTTAACTGTTGCTATTTTGAGGTCTTCGTGGAGGGAGTTGTTGGTGACGTACCACGGTGCTTTGGTTATCATACGGAGACAAATAGACTGGAACGCCTGTATTATCCTTATGTAAGATGGCTTTGCAACATCCCAGAGCGCGATACCGTATGACCATATTGGTTGGAGGAGGGATTTGTAAAGAAGTAGACGATAGGATATGTGCTGGTTGTGTTGGATGAGCGGTCTTATTAGATGAAGACGAGTATTTAGCTGTTTCCGTTTACTTTTAAGATGAGGACCCCATGTGAGCGTTCTGTCGAATAACAAGCCCAGGTATTTCGCTTCCCTTGCTTGTGGAATAATAGTGTTGTTGAGAATTATGTTAGGACCGTCATTTTGACTAAGGGTGAAGGTGATGTGGGTAGATTTTAGTTCGTTGATTTTTATTTTCCAAATGTCACACTACTTGGATAATATGTTGAGGTGAGATTGTAAGAATTTGCTACAGTTATGCGGATCTTGATCGGCAGCTAGTATTGCAGTGTCATCTGCGTATGTTCCGATGAGTGTGTTTGCGGTATGTGGAATGTCAGCTGTGTAGATGATGTATAAGAAAGGAGCAATGTCGCTACCTTGGCGATAATTATTATTACTAACAATTATTAGTATTTTTTTTTTTAATTTAATAATTCATAATAAAATACAGTTTAAAATTACTTTCATCTAAAATTATTCTTTAAAAAAAATTATTAATGTATCATTTTTACCAAAAATATATTTTGTAATATTTTTCAATAAAAAAAAATGTTCGGAATGCATTTCAAATTTTAATAAATGTGAATGAACATACATTTTTCTTAAGAAATTGTAAATAGGAATGTATTTTTTTTTAATGTGGTATACATTATTTAAAAAAAATAATTTTTCAAACTCTGTTTATAATATAAAGTTATGTATAATTTAAATACTTAATTTTTTTATACAATTATAAACTATCAATAATTTTTCAATTTTATAATATTGTTACAACATTTTATGTAAACATTGTTTAAAAATAGGTCATACCCAGTTTTTTATTTGTAATATACTAGAAAACAATTTGTACGTTTTATTGAATTATGCGAAAATTATTATAGAATTTCGAGCTTTTCAAAATTTAGGTTATCTTCAAAAATAAGTTTGTACGTTTTAGGTAAAGTGTTTATTGTGCCGATTTGTTGATGCGACTCTGTTTTAAATTCTATTAATTTTGAACTAACCTATTGAAAATTATTAATCATGTATTCGCGAAATTTATTTTTAATATATTTTTAAAGATTTTAAGCTTTTCTAATTTAAAAATATTTTTTGAATAATTCCATCTTAATAGAATTTTATAGAAAAATATAACCCTCTGATAACTATTTTCTGTTAAATATTTTTTAAGCTACATATTTAGAAAACTTAAGATAGGGGAATTTCCGATTGCGTTCCACAATTAGCTTTTTCTGATGTTTTGAATGCGCTCGCAAAAAGGAATCACCCGAATGCATACCAAGAAAAATTAAGTTTTTTTACGTGTAGCCAAAATGTACCCAGTTTACTTAGAATTACTCAAGGTGCACAGCAAGGTGGTATGAAATTGGATTACATCACGAGAATATTTCTTTTAATATTTAAAGTTATTATTGATTGATATTTTTTATAATTTACTATATTATTATATTAAACATTCAAATTACAAATTATTAACTATTTGAAACGTGAATAAAATTTAAAAAATTAATTTTCAATCATTACGTAAATTTATTTATTTTTCAACATACAAAGCATTAAATATTCAAAACATTGGTTGCTTCGTGAAAGTTATAATTTTTACAAAGTCACTTCTTGATATTTCTTTATTTTTATACTTGATCATATTTTCTTCAATAAATGAAAATTTTTTAAATGTAGTTCTTTTTGTTTTCTTAGTATCACGATTTAAACACATAGGGCAATTGTTGATTTGCATCTAAATTATTTTATTATGATTAAAGCGGACACTATCGGGCTATGAAAAAGGTAAAAATAAAAACCAGAACGCAGTCGGGAAATTCCCCTCAAAATGGTTAAGAAACGCAGTAAGGAATACCTTATTATGATAAGCCATAACGGTTGATAATTAATTAATTATCAATTGTTATACACGGTATTCAAGTATTCACGCCATTTTATTTACTAGAAATGTTTAAACTTCTCTATTGTGATTTATGTGTAATGCTCTAAGATTTGTTGATTTTTTTATAATTTCCTAACTTAAATTTTCAGTCATTGTAGTTCTTGGGAGCAAAATGTACATAAAAAAAAAACCGGAACAGGATGTTATTCTTCGCACCTTCACATCAATTTTTGTAAAAGAATTTATTATTATCTTAAATTAGATCTAATTAAAATAGTATTTTATTTTTTAGTATGCATTACGAAAAAAACTATTCTCAACAACTGATCAAAAACAACATTGGATCGAAAGTGCTCGAAGTAAATACACTGACGTTGAAGTTTCAGACTCAAAAGCAGCTTTAGAAGTTTTATTGATATTTTTATCATATCCGTTGTTTTGGGCTCTTTATGAACAACAAGTATGAATATTAAGTAAATAGATTTCTCTTCTTCAAATTAATGCTTGGGTAAACCATTAAATATGTTGCGTTTTAATTTAAAGAACTTTTATTATTTAAATCTCAAAAAAATGTATTTTATGATAAGACAAATAAAATTATATATATATATATATATTGATTTATAGACTTTTTCTAAAATATTAAATAAAAACTATGAATAATTAAAATAACTATTTTAAAACTTTTATTTTATAGAAAATTAACACTAATAATAACTATTGTAATTAGAATTATGATAAAGCAGTCAGGGTCGTTTCGGTAGTAGGATGTAATACGCCAATTGACAATATTTTATTATTTCATTCGTAAACTTTTCAATATATGAAAGTTTTATAAAAAAATGTTGAATAATGTCAAAAATAAGAAAACTGCACAATGTGTAAAAATAATATATTGAACCCGTACAGCATTTATCGGCTATTTATAGTTTTTAATTAGTATAGACTAGTAATTTTAACTATATATGACCCGGTCTATGAAAAGGTGGCTTACGACATAAAAACAAGTTTTTGAGAAAACAGCTGTTAAAGATAAATAGTGCGTTTCGTCAGTTTCTCCCTAGCTGTTCTCTTTTCTCTGTGTTGCACAGTGTTACTTATTGTTCAAAGACATCAAGTGAGGTACAGTGTTGCCTTTGCTCCTAATATTATTATCGAAAATCAAGTAAAAAATAATTTTTTGAGTCGTAAGCCACTTTTTCATAGACCGGGTAACATTATTATATTATAGACTAGTATATTTTTGATATACAGGGTTCACGTTGGACATTGCAGGCAACATTAATGAACGGAAAAATAGATAACCTTAATTGGGTAATGAAACCCGATCAATTACAAACGGTCGTGCCGTTTTTTGCTTTAGTTTTTCTTTTGACATTTGATTATTCATTATATCCCATTTTAAAGAAACTTGGAATAAAAAAACCGTTACAACGAATTATCTTTAGCTATTTCCTAGCTAGTATTGCGTTTATAGTCACTGCAATTTTACAGTGGCACATATTTGTAAGTACGTTTATTAAAAACTAAAATTTTGTACTATACAAACATTTTTATTAAAGGGAGAAACGACAGTTATATCTCCTAATGAAGGACTTGTTAAAATTTACAATGGATTTGACTGTAACGCAACCATATCATCTATGAAAATATTAAATATCACATCAAAATCATTAGATGTGACCGATATTAAGTATTTACCGATTTTAGATGTAACGGCAGATGATTATACACTGAGTTTTGATCCATCATGTAGTCCATTGAAAGATAGAAAAATTAAAACCAATATAACAATTCTTAAAGGAAAAGTAATTATAAATTTAATATAGAATTAAGTAGTGGCGTTGTCAGGGTTTCATCTTAAATACTTGATAAATATTTTAATATCCCCTTTAAAATACATCTTAAACATATATTTATTCTAATTTGGAAGAAATGGATTATACCCCCATATCACCTTCGTGATGTGCCCATTGGCGTAAACAGGATTCATAACAAAAGAAAGGGAAATACATCGGTAGTTTGAAAAATTTATAACAACCTAATTATATCAAATAAGGAGGAGGCCGAGGCATAGTCCTTGTATTAACCCAACTACGCCACTTGAATTATGTACACATACTATATAATTATACAATTAAATCTAATACATTTTTATTATTATTATTATTATGTGTTAGTCAATATCATATTTTCTTACAAGAAATTTCGAAGAAAATGTTGTTTTGCTCCGCGTGAATAAAGAAAGTGACAACTTTTTTAAACCTAAAAATGGAAACCCCCAATTAAGGTATAGTTACATTATTTTTGAAAATCAAGATCAGATTTATTAAATAACACTTCATTGTTCATCACATTATAAAAAATGTTATGTGGTAAAAGTGTAACAAGTACATAGTTATATAGAACCATATATTATCAATCGTTCATTATAAAAGTATATAGAAATTTGTACATAGAGTGATTTTTTATTATAACCCATTCAATTACTCACAGAATAAGAATATTCTTTTTGGGTACCCTTTTAGATACATATTATTCTTGAATTATTAGCTACGTAATACTTTTTAAGTTCATCCCTTATGTTTTCTAAGGGTGTGAACTTTGTTTTTCAGATGGGAATAAATATTTTGAATTTAATAAAATGTTTTAGATTTTATTTTAATAGTAAATAGTATTTGAATTTTTAACATAACTTTATTTGTTTATTAGATATAAAACACTAGAGTTACAAATTTTTAAGCTATATGCATGTATATTATACGAAGAATTACAAATACAGGTAACTAATTGGATTTTATGATATTGCTATCACAGATACGAAGTGTTTATTATAAATCATTACTTTATGAACAGATATGCTTAAAGTGCGCTTGTAAGGTACATTATTGGGAGAGTATTGAACATTTATTAATACAATAGTTAAGTAAACTTGTAACTAAATAAAAAATATTCGTGAATTAAGTCCCAGGGGCGGCAAATACTCAAATCTTTCCTTTAGCTCCACATAGCAAAGATATAATAAATTCAAAAACATATCTAAAAAATCAAAACAAAAAAAATTAAATTGTGAATTTGGACATTTTAATGCGATGATGTATGACGATTCTTTCTTAAATATTTTGTAAGCATCCTTTCTACGTAGCATTAATTATAATTTAGACAATTAAATAAAGCTAAACCGTCCAGAGGCAGCAAAAAATGTTTTTGCAGCCATCTTACGTAGTTTTGCAATAATAACTTACTTAACAAAGTAAAGAACAGTAATAATTGAAGTTTTAATGTGTTTATAAATCACTTTTAAAAATAAGATTATGCAAAAGGTTACCTATATAAAAAAAAAATTAATTTTGAAACATTCATATATAAATGTTTAACTGTTTTAATTTAATTACTGTAAATTATCAATTTAGACTGGTTTTAACTTTATTTAATAATAACTTAAATTTCACACGTGGTGTTTAATGCTAAAACAGAAATTTAAATTTTTAAGAATTTATGTGCATTTTATTTTATTTTTTTAAGGATTCTAACAAGTGAAAATATTCATAACAATGAAACATTTGAAATAGTTTATGCAGATAAAGATAACATGAAAACAACTTACAGCTTATCTATGTATCTTAATGGATTTTTTCGTGGAGTAAATCTTGGAAAGTAAGCTAAACAATTTTTTATCTTGCTTTGATATTTTTTTTTATATCTCAGAAGTTTCAAATTGGTGATTAATAATAATATAAAATTAATAACTTTAAATTGTCAAAAATTTAAACCAATTAAGTCATCAAAACTTAAAAATTTTTAATAATATTTTTATTTTTTCAATCCATAAAAAAATCCACACTTTACTAGTAAAAATTATACTTACTTAATATCTAAATATAAACTATTAAAAGTTGCATCAGGTCTACAGCCGGCATAAAACTCTGTCAAATCGTTAAGGGAGTTCCGATTCTAAATAGTTGCGATATAGGCTATAGTGACCCGCAAGGCCATTTCTTAGAGTGACAAATGTAACAACCCTGCGGACCCTAGTTGCGTTGGGCCCCCCATTAATAGAGGTTGGGCGTAGGGCTAATTACCCTGCCCTTTAAAAGACTCTTTGATTTCGGAACAACAAACATTGCTTCGGAACGTGGAGCTTACGAATTTATGTATAGAACTGGAACCATGACGATAATCATATCGTGTCTTGAGCGATACAAATTGAATATAACAGCAGTTCAAGAAGTAAGGTGGAACGGAACTGGTAGTATACGGTCATAAGGAAACATAATTTTTTACAGTGGCGAAGAAAAACACAAAAGGACAAAGTTTTACCAGGTGTTGTCAAGTTTGAACCAATAAGTGATAGAATATGTTATGTGGAGTTTAAATCCAGATGATTTAATATTATAATAGTACATTGCTACGCACCTACAGAGGATAAAAATGAAGAAGTTAAAAATGCTTTCTACGATGAGCTAGACAGAGTATGTAATGAATTACCGTCGGGAAAGCTAAAAATCATTATTGGTGACTTCAACGCAAAAATCGGATGAGAAAGGGTATACAGACCAGCTATTGGCAACAACTATTTGCATAGTGAATCCAATGAAAATGGAAACAAATTGATTACCTTTGCAGCAACAAAGAACATGGTCGTAAGCAGCACAATGTTTCCACATAGAAACATTCACAAACAGACTTGGATATCACCTTGTGAGAAAACAAGAAACCAAATAGATCACATAGTCATCGATTAGCGAATAAAATCAAGCATAGAAGTTGTAAGAAGTATGAGGGGTTGCAGTGCGATTTCTGATAATTTCCTGGTAAAGGCAAAGTGCAAATAAATATTTCGACGGGTTGGCTACTAAAAGTAAACCAAGCCAAGGAATATCAGAAAAAATTAAATAAATAACTTTCAAATTCTGTACACAAAACAAATATAAACGAGTTGTGGGAAAGAGTTGAAACAGCGATGAAAAGGACCGCAGTAGAAATATTGGGTCATGAGCCTCCGAAACGAAAAAAACCTTGATTTAATGATCAGTGTTAAAAGGCCACGGAAGAAAGGGATAAAGCCAGATTAAAAGTATTAAAGAACCCAAGAGAAGAAAATAAAAGAATACTAGCCATAAAACAGCGAGAGGTAAAAAGGACAATAAGGATGAACAAAAGAGCATGGGAAAAAGAAAGAATACAACTCATAGAAAATAGTAGAAAGAATAATGTGCGGATTTTTTTGAAAAAGCGAATGAAGTTAAACATGAATTTAAACGTAAATCATTAATTATTAGAGAAGAAGACGGAACGTTATTAACCAAAAACAGAAAAATAACAGAAGAATTTAAAAAAATATTTAATGCACTATTAAACCAACCCAGTGAAAGGACAATTATAGAAGAATAGACCTTAGTAGAGCAAAACATAAAACCACTTTCAAGAGCAGAAGTAGAAATTGGTTTGAACATGCTCAAAAATCGAAAGGCGACTGGAGAGGATGAAATAATTTCTGAATGCCTCAAAAAAGAAGGACAACAATTAAAAAATCAGATACATAATCTGATTATTAAAATGTCGGAACTTGAAGTAATACCATGCTCGTGGCGTATATCTATTCTATGTCCTACTTTTAAAAAAGGAGACCCTATAAACTACAAAAATTATATGGAAATCTCGCTATTGAACACAGCGTATAAAATACTATCTAATACACTAATTTTTAGAATAAAAGAAATGATTAGAGATTACCAGGGAGGGTTTATGGCAGAGAAATCAACCCAAGATTAGGTACACGTCATTTAGCAAATAACTAAAAAACGTCACGAATTTGACAAAGATATACACCTATTATTTATAGATTTCAAGGCCGCCTACGATTCGATGAATACAGAGAAGCTATGGAGCGTAATGTACCAATTCAGGGAAACCTGAAAAGTTTGTTAGAATAATCCGTGCATATGTACAGGGATCAAAATGTAAAGTGAAGATCAGAGATGTCGTGTTGGAGGACTTCGGGGTAGGGACAGGACTTTGGCAGGGTGATGCATTGTCCCCAGCTCTGTTCAATGTAGCTTTGAAATCAGTTGTAAGAGAAACCCTAGTATCAGCGAGTGGAATTAAAATTTGAATTGACAAACAATTAGTAGTGGCTGCATATGCAGATGATTAGTCATAATGGCAGAAAATGAAGTGAGTTTAAAGAATACTACAAGAACTTTGCTGGAATATGGGAAGAGAATTGGGTTAACAATAAACGAAGATAAGGCAAAATACATGGTCGTAACTAGGAATAATCACAGAATAGGACACTTAGATATTAGTAATTATTAATTCGGAAGAGTAAATAATTTTAAATACCTCGGAGTAGACATCAACTAGGACGCAAATAGCCACGAGGAAATAAAACTTAGATTAACAGATGTTATTGTGGATTGATTCCTCTATTTAAATCAAAGATTTTATCTTGGAAGTCAAAAATAACTCTTTACAAAGTACTAGTAAGACCGGTAGACTTATATGCGTGTGGGACGTGGGCCACGACAATGTCGAATGAATGTAAACTGGCGAACTTTGAATGGAAGGTATTAAGAAGAATATATGGCCCAAAAATTAACAATGAAGGAGAATATGAGATTAGGACAAACCAGGAAATTCATGACCTATACGGAAAAGCAAATATCATCGGAGTTCTAAAAAGTAGTAGATTGAGCTGGGCCGGACACGTATGGTGATCGGAGGATACAACTGCACAAATGACGAATTGGAAACGAAACACGAAGAAACCTAGGGGACGTCCTAGACAAAGATGAAAGAATAGAGTAATCAGTACTTGAAAGAAAATGGGGAAGAATTGGCAAGAGACAGGGACCGATGGAGGCAAGTGGTTGTTGCGGCAATGGGCCTAAATGGCCCGTAAAAGCTTTAAAAGAAGAAGAATAGGCTATAGTGACAATCATATTTATTTACTTAAAATATACTAGATAATTCTTTTTCTTCTTGAGCTTTCGCTGCCTCTACTACATTTCGCCATCTATCTCTATCCATTCTGTCTACTATTGTTATTACCCGGGTGCACTTTTATAAATAATCGTTAACCCTGTCTACCCAGCGCTGTCCAGGATGACCCCTAGGTCTTTTCCCAGCGATCTTTCATTCCAAAGCTTTCTCTAAAATTCCATTTCACCTCCATACATGGCTTGCTCACTCAATTCATTTACTCATGAGATACCCGTTGAAACTGTGTTTTTGGTAAATTTGTTGTACTTCTCCATTAGTTCTTTTTCTGTACACTTCATTTTCTACAATAAGTCCGTATATTCTTCTAAAAAGTCTTCTTTCAAAACAAGCCATTTTTCCTCATTTCTTTTAGTAGTCGAACATGTTTCATACACGTATGTTAAAACTGGCCATAAGAAACCTGAGTACAGGTGTTCCTTTGGTCGTCTAGAGAGAAGTTTTGACTTAAACAGTTTTTCCAAAGCATAGAAACCCTTATTAGCGCAAATATCCTCAGTTAATTAAGCATGTTATTGTGTTGGTTTATTTTACCCAAAGATATTTGAAATTTTCGACTTGTTGGAAGGTATAGTTTTCCACTACCAAGTCCGAGTTATCATCTCTTGTTCCCCTAGTTATGACTAAATATTTAATTTTGACCTAATTTACTTCTAGGCCAAATGGCATCGCTACTTTTATTAAATCATTAGTTCTTGTCGTGTATTGCCTTTTATAACTATATCATCTGCATAAGTAAGGAGCGTACTATAGTAAAAATATCCTTGCCTTGTCACATTGGCATTACCCTGATCACCTTCTCAAGCGCTAAGTTGAAAAGGACTGATGATAACGTATCGCCCTGTTTAAGTCCAGTTTTAACCTCAAAACTCTCTGATGTACTGTTATTAAATTTTACATTGCACACTTTGTGCGTGTTGCACGCTTTTATGAGATCGGTAAGTTTTTTGGGTATTCCAAATTCTTCTAGGGCCACCCACAGTTTATTTTGAACTATGCTGTTGTTTACCTGCCTGAAGTCGACAAAGAACATATGCCGTATAATAAATTATACTTTCACTTTCCTCTCTGTCTTCTTGATCGATATTTAAGATATTTTCAATAAGATAAATACTAATAAAAGATATATACTAGATAATACTCAAATTAATTTAAATGTTATCGAGTTTTGTATTAAAAGTAATATTTTATTAATATATAATTGTTTTTTTTAGTTATAAGCTTCTGCATAATGGCAAATCTTTAAACGAAAGTTTAAATTTTACTCCTACAACTATTTACACTCTTATAGTTCAACGTAATGATGATAAAATGGTAATCACAATAATTTTATTTATTTTAAATAATATTAATTTTTAATTTTTTTTTTGAAATGGTTATCAATTTTTAGCAATATATTTTTTTAAATGTATGTTTTATATATTTTTTTCTACTTATCTAATAAATATGTAAAAACTATTCAAATCACTAATTTAAATTTTTTCCCTTTCGCCATCTATTTAGTTTTTTTATAAAATTAAACTCTTGATAAGAAAATTTAATTAATTGAAAATGATATTTTACTTTTCATTTTTAATTTATGACATTGAAAATTCATAGAACATAAAACTACTTTCTATGGACAACGGAAATTATCTGCACATATTATGGCAATCGCCACAGTACTTATTCATGATTACAGCAGATGTCATTTTTGTGGCAACAACTATTGAGTTTTCATTTACTGAAGTAAGATTTAATTTATAAAAAATTTACTTTATAATAATAATAACTATGAATATAATATATTGATTACTAGGCACCACCAAGAATAAAATCGTTTATATCAGCATGTTATTCGTTAACTCAGTCTGTTGGTAACCTGTTGGTAGTCTTTGTATCTGCTTTGTCATTTAAAAATCAAGTAAAACAATTCTTAAGTATAAATTTTCAAGTTATATAAATCATTATATATATTTTTATTTTACAGGTGCATGAATATCTGTTATATTCTGGTTTGATGTTTATTAACACACTTTTTTTAATTTATTTAAGTTTAAACTACAAGTACAAGACGTTTAGTGAAAATAACATAAAAAATACTACAGAAAATTGAATACTATACATTAACTCTTCACATAACACTTCATAATGATGACCACTAACTTATTCGAACGAACTTAGAAGAGTAGGCTCCATCCATTTGACTAGCTAAAACAATATTTTAGGCAAACAATCACCAAAAAAAGTTTATAAAGTTACATTTTATTGTATTAGCCTAAACACTAAAAAATCCTGGGTACTCCACTTTTTAATAATCTATTCATATTTTTGTAGATTGATAATGTGTTATCGTTTATGTTTATGTACAGTTTTGTAATTAATTAAAAATATTATTGGTAATTTTTAAATTTACAAATTGAATACATGATAATTTAATAAAATACATAACATATATTTAGTAAGAAAGAAAGACAACATCTCATTTCTTTCCTAGCAAACAAATTTTTAAACCATATTTTAAATTAAACTATACCAATAAAATAACAGTATTTTTATTAGTACTCACAAATAAATACCATGGAGTTTTTTGGTGAAAATAAGAAAATACTCTAGGAGTACAAAGTCAATTGATAACCAATTTTTCTTTATTGAAATTTTGCAATTTAACAAGGGTTAACGAGCAAAAAATACACAATATAGTTAGAACCCAGCATAGTGGATAAGACCAGACTGGTCACGGTAGTAAGAATCAATGGTCTCCTGAAATGCTGTGAATAGCGATTTTCAATTAGTAAAACTTATTTTTTTGTTTAGAGGTATTTTTTTTTATGAGGAATTCAAAAAATAAAATTTCTGCTATCTAGAATCCCTCTTCTATAGATAAGGTTTTAATTTAAAAAATATATACATAATAAAAGAAACATATCTAAAATATTTTTACAAAAATTTCGATTATGCTATTTGTTTTACAAAATTGTGTCGCAATTTAAAATCAGAAAAACTAAGTTAACAAAAAAAAATAAGTTAATTCAATATTTTGTCTTTGGTCACAATCAAATTTACATGAGCATGTTGCTATGAGCTATGTATATTTAGTGAAAGCAGCAGATAGTGTGTTTAAAGAGTTTTTTTTACCATTCAATATTCAAACAACGCCAAAGATATTAGAGGTGATAAAACCAGAAGAAGTGGCTGATCGTTTTTTAAATTTTTTAGCCGAAGTGACGCTTAAAATCGACAAATTAGATATATTTTCGTTATAACATATATAAATTTATAAATAAAATAAGCTATGGTCATTATTTCTCCTGTACGAGTAACGACGAGTTAAATAACATTACTCATCATATTGTACACTTATCAATTTACGATAATGGTTGATAACAAGATGATTTTATAAATACACCTTGTCTTATAATTAATAATACACACTTCTAAAATAAGACTAAATTATTACATACATATATTGGAAGTTTTTAGGGTCAGTTGTGCAAAAGAGTGATGGTATTGACGAGGATGTAAAACACAGAATTAAGTGCGTGTGGTTGAAGTAAAGAGAAGAGTCTGGCGTCTTATGTGATAAAAGAATTCCAATGAGGTTGAAAGGTAAATTTTACAAGACTGTAGTGAGGCCAGCTATGTTGTATGGTTCAGAGTGTTGGGCGGTTGATAAGAAAGTAGAGCAGAGAATGAGTGTATCAGAGATGAAAATGCTTAGATGGATGAGTGGAGTGACTAGAAAAACTGATGTACACATTTGTGGAGATGATGTGGGAGATCGTGTCAAGTGGAAGTTTAGGATAAGAGTGGCCGACCCCAATTAATTGGGATTAAGGCGAGAAAGAAGAAAAAGATATTAGAAGTTTTTAACGTTTACAATTATTAAATTTATTATTAAAATTGGAAATTTTTAATAAATAGTGTTTAAAATGTTATATTTGTGTATGAATTTTCAATACTTAATGTCAAAAATTTACTACTTTTGTATACAATTAACGTATATATTAAAAATAGCTGCCCTCCTTTCTTTTTTCCACTTTTGTGTTCGGACTAATTTTAAAATTATGTTTTCGTTTTACTCATTAAATCTAGCTATTTCTTTTTAACCACCAGTTCTTTATCAAAATCTATTTTATTCATCAGAATATTAATTAATCTGTAAACCATACTATTAAAAGATGCCAATTTGTGTTGCCAGGTGTGGTTCGATGTGTTCGGGATTTATCTGAACGTGTGCGTGTTTATCCACTTTTTTATTTTGACTCATACATAACTTTGTTACATTAATAAGCTCATTTATTTTATCTTGTTCTATGTTTTGTTTCTTTAGTCAGTCTTTAAGAAAATCAATTGTTATATTTATTGGAATATTCGGAAATAAGGCTACTACGTCAAAAGAAATTAACCTGTCATTATTTTGAAGTATATAAAAGAATATATATACTCAATTAATATTTTTTTTAGAAATTACAACATCTGTGAAAGTCAAATTTTGTAAAATTATTATTAAAATTATTACAAAAATTATTTTTATAATTTTATAATAAAAATTCTTCTTCTTCATCCTTCACAACTTATTGACCCAATAAATGCCTTTGCTATCATTACAAAACCTCTCCATTTCTCTTTATCATAAGCATCCTCTAAATTTAACTATTCTTCTATGATATAAGGCGCAGTTCTTTATTTTTTCCACCTCATCTAAAAGTATTATTATTTCTGATTTGAAACCAGCTTTGATACTTCCACTTTTATCGATAACTTTCAACTAGCGTTATGGTGGGTGGACATAATCTAGTGGGGGGAGAGGCGTGGTCAAGGTCATACAGTGGGCGTAGTTCTCGATGGTGGGAAAGTCTTATGATAAGGGGTCTTATGATAGTAGGGGTAATTGATGGCGTTGTCTATGGTGAAGATGGGGGTGTTAAGGTCATTCAAAATGGCGGTTATAAACTGTAGTGCGCATGTCTGTTGTGGGGGAAGTAGCCATTCGAAAATGATTGTTCTCCTCCTACGGGCACCGTTTAGTCAATTACTTAATATTAACGCTACATGGGTTTCCGTCAACAATGCCTACAGGGGAAGGGGGTAATGAAACATAACATAAACAAACCTGTAATGGGTTGGGATGAATCAAGACGTAAACTAATTTGCCGCACATCTATAAATTGTATATAATAAATAATTTCTCAGAATTTTATCATTGGCTACCAGACGCATAGCTAAGCATATTTCCAACATCTAAGGTACTGCCATATTATAACGCAAATTAACGTCTACATTTTATAAGAACAAAGACAACGTCTGTCCTTATGGCATTATAATTTCTATGAATTTTATCATCGGTTACCAGACGCATAGCTAAGCATATTTCCAACAACAAAAGTACCGCCATATTATAACGTTCATAAGCGTGAACATTTTTATTTTTACGTAGTATTTTATCATTGCCTACCAGATGCTTAGAAAAGCATCTCTTTAATATTAGTATATTTAATTATCTATAATTAATATAATTACTATAATTGGTAATATATTTTTAGAATTAACTATGTGTACGTTCATCGTTGTCGGTTGCTATAATAGTATAATCGCTATTATTATTATTATTATTTTCTACTGCGCCTTTAAAATAATAATTTAAATTAATTTGACAATTTTTTATACCTATAACTAGCGGTATTACATTTAAAGTCGCACCCCCACCACCAGAACCCTTTTTTTTTTTAACCTCCTTTTCGACTTTAATGTGGACCGTCCTGGAACTGTCGTTAGGCATTGCTTCAGGGCGGCCCACGTCGCCTTAATTACTTCTTACCACCGCGCTGTGACACGGCCCAAGTTTACACTAGTGCCGAATCCCAGCACGGCGTAGCCTCCCCCGTTAGCCGGACCCCACTAGAGGGTCCGTTGCCCGGGTTGGATCACGTGGAGGTGGGGGTAGGCCGTCTTCTTTCTTCTGGTTTCTGGTCGGAGCCCGACCTTCTTCCTTTCTTCTACTTCCGGGGCAGTCCTTGGAAAAGTGCCCCTCCTTCTTGCACCTGAAGCACCGGTCCGAACACTGAGGACCCTTGTCAAGAATCCTCAGCCTACAGGAAGTCCACCCAACCCGGACTCGGCCTAGGCCTACCAGACGATGAGCCGTTTTGAGGGACACCTCGCACCTCGCATACCGCCCTTTACCGCCGACGATCGTGAGAACCGTGATAGGTCCCATTCGCGGCGGCAATTCTCCATTAGGAAAATTCAAGGCGGCGCTCAGTGCTTTGTGCACGTCCTGCTCATCCTGCCACTCCTCCACATCCAGGAGGAGTACGGTGCAGGTCATCGAAGGACGGTGCACACGCACGACCAACTCCTGCAGGGCCGCCAGAAGGTCCACTTGCTCAACTGACCCCCGGACCTCCAAGAGGACAGCCCCCGTCTTAGTTCTCCGGGTCCCGGACACTTGGATGCCTAGGGCCTAGAGGTCAACTGCAGCCATAGCTGCGCCCATCACCGTGGCGTACTTCTGGCCTTCCCTTAAGGGGCTGATCACCACGGCTTCTGTGCGCAAAACTTTCGACAGCAGTTTCGCTGCCTTTTGGTTGCTCGTCATGAGTGGAGGTTTGGGCTTGGCTGCCGCATCCTCCCTCCTCTTTACCCCAGCCTTCCATCCTACATCTTGGGTCCATAGCGGTTCAGCGGGAACAGCTCCCGCATCCCCTTCTACAGACCCTTCATAGTTTGCCCGATTCGCCTCCCTCTTATCAGTCTGGCTCTGGGTAGGCAAGATGACTGGATCGGAGGCAGGGCATGGGACAGTAGGCCGCTTCCTCTTCCTCTTCCTTTTTTTCTTTTCTGTCTCGTCGGCTCCCTTCGGCGTAGAGGCCGGCGGGTCCTCGACGACGGTTTGCGTCCCGACTTCTTTAGTCAAATTCACAAGCGCTATTTCCGGCGCCCGTGGTTTGTCTACTACCTCCGCTAGAGCTTCCAGGGGGTTCCTGGACGGCGGAGACGCTCTTCCGCGTTTCTCCCTCTCCAGGATATCCTCCAAGCACTTTGTCGCGGTTTGCACCTCCCTGTGCACACCCATACCTCGTCGTTTGTCAATAACACCTCGAAGTACCCGAAGGTCACTGGAGAGTGCCTGCTTGGCACACCCTCCGACAGTTACTTGGGCGCGAACGCCCCCTGGACCCTGCCTCACCAGTCCAACGGCTTTGATGCAGTCGCTTGATGACGACCAGGTCGAGCCTGCAACGGCACTCTTCCCAGCCGGCCCTGGAGTCTCCGAAATTCCTGGAACGGTAACCGTATTTTTACAATGGTGTCCTTCCATGTTTGGTTTTACGGGTGACCTTCCCTGCGTTTTACCTGCCGCCAGGGGATTTGTTTTCGGTGTTATCTTCACCTAGGTGGTTGCCTTACCAGGCTATCGGGCCCACCCGCCCGTTATGAAATTACCCTCGATCGCTACCGCTTATTCGTCCACTCTAAAAGTAGCTTATATCACGGCTACCCTGCATATCTGCAGGGTTAACGAGCGAACGAGGGGCTCGCTGTTCGCGACCGCTTATTCGTCAGTCCAAATTAATGGACTGCTTATTTCGCGGCTAACCTGCATATCTGCAGGCCGTTCCTCTATCCGTAACCTGAGGACGCACCCGATTCCCCGAGCTAGGGATACTGCTTTCGTAGCCCCGTAGAGCCCGATCACGCCAACACTGTAACGCAGCGAAACGGGCACCACCAGAACCCACGAGTCTTCACTACGTTTAACAATATAATATAATATAATACTAATAAGAAATTTTTCCTTTGTTAACTGGTCTACATGTCAATTTTAAACTTGTAATTGAGCTAAAAGTTATGGTAATATATTCAATTTTTTTTACTATAAACTTTCATAAATTTTTTTCAAAAATTTTTCATTAACTTTAAAGAACCAAAAAAATAGGTTAAAATTGAAAATTTGGACTGATTATTTTTAACATATTAAAAATCAAATCAGTAATAATTTGAAAACAATTTTTTTTTTCTTTTAATTATTTTTTATATGTAATTAGTAATAATATAAAAAATTAGAACTGATAAATAAAGTCTTATTGCAGATTTGAAAACAACGCGAAAATTTGATTTAGAAAAGTATATTTTTGCTTCTGATGAAAATTCCTTGAAGTCCAGTGCATTCATTTATAGTAACAAACAGTTTTTATTGAAATTTATTGTATCAAGCCCTTTAAATTTTTATACACGTAAAAATAAAGCAAAATACAACTTCTTTATTATTTTTATAATTTCTCCGTTTAAATTACAATATTAAATTATTGAATATCAATTTTATACTAAATTTAATAATTATAATTAGTATTTATTCATATATTATGTTTTAAAATTAAAGAACTACTAATTAGGATATAATCAAAGAAATAAGAGTTGATGTTGCTTTTGGAATAATCCATCAATTTCTCTAAATGAAACACTATCTACAGATTTGCATCGAAGCGTTTCTTATGATCGTGATTTTAATCACTGTCAGATATCATCTATACTTGTCCCATCTATGCCTTGTCTACACTGTGCCTCGACCCCACTGTGCTACCGTTTTTTTTTTAAACTTATTTATATTAAACAAAATAAACGTATTATTATACACTTGTAAGATTTAAAATTCAATAAAATATAATATTTTTTTTTATACAAATTTGTCATATTTATATACACTATATGTCTTTGTGCATAATGATAAGAATATTAAATATAAGTTTGTATTACTAAGTAGTACAAAGAAGAGTATTACTCATTAAATATATACAGAAAATTATAATGTCCAAAAGATAACGGTTTGTTTGGAATTAAGTGTTCTTATCACCAAAGTGATAATAATATCACTAACAAGTCTATTATGTTCGTGCATAATCAAGTCACAGATAATAATATTGATAATTAAATCTGTATAACAAAAGAATATTATGCTTAATTTTTGTATTTCTATCCACTCTATTGTTATATCCAATGATCTTTTAATTTATTATTATTAAGATTATTGTTAAAATTTTTTATAAAATTGTGCACTTTTATTCCTATTATGAAATTGTCATAGATTTTTATGTTATGTTTCATATCAAAGTTGTGATTAAAACAATATAAAAAATGTATATGGAACAGTTATCCAATTTACAACCATATGAATTACATAAAAAACTCTTGGACCAATATTTAAGTTTTTGTAAACGAAGAGATGCACAAAAGTATGTTTCCATAATCACAAGTGATCTATATATTTCTGCCACTTAGTAAAAGCAACAAAACTTTTTGTAAATTGTGAAATTGACCCTATTTTTAATCCATTTATTTAATCTTACATATATTGAATTTCAGAAATGAAAAACGAGATATTGATGTTATACAAGAAAATCATAAATTTGTTTGGGAAGATGATGATGAAATAGTTACATGGGAACAAAAGTTAGCAAAAAAATACTATGACAAATTGTTTAAGGAATACTGTATTTGTGATTTAAGTCTTTATAAAAAATCTAAGGTACATAAAGATACAAATAGAAAAAATATGCATTACCATTGTTTTACAATCATTAAAATTTCAATTCTGTTAAACTTAGTGTTTTTCTTTTTTTAAGCACGTGATACTAAGAAATTATTTAATTATTTTTGTAATAACTATAATAATATATATTATTAATGTTACATAGTGTAAAAATAAAGTAGTGAATGAAATATGAAAAATGAGACAGTTTTTATTTTACATAACTTAATTTATGTATTAATAATTTTAGGTAGCTATGCGCTGGCAAATTGAAAAAGAAATGATAAGTGGAAAAGGACAGTTTATTTGTGGAAATAAAATATGCAATGAATCAAATCACCTACGTACTTGGGAAGTTAATTTTGGATACATGGAACACGGGGAGAAGAAAAATACTTTAGTTAAATTAAGTTAGTCTATACTTAATGAAAAATTTTAGCAAAGAAATAAATTATAATTAATTAATATTTTTTTATAGGATTATGTCCTGATTGTTCAAATAAGTTGAATTATAAACAAAAAAGGAAAGAAATAAAACGTAAAGTTTTTAAAAGTACAAGAAATAAATTTAGTGAAAAATCTGTAAAGGACAATGATATAATAATTTATCAAATACCTACTTCTAGTAATACTCAATCAATACCCAGTAATGTTAATGAAAACAATGTTTGGAGTGAACAAATTCAAGTGGAAGATGAAAAACCTAGAGAAGATGATTTTGAAGATTACTTAGAACAGTTATTTTTTTAAATAAAATTTATTAACAATCATTTTATAACTACAGATACATGTATATACATGATAAATAAATAAATAAATAATGCCAATTTTAATGTTCTTCTTGTAGAAATAAATTATCTTTAGCATGGTTATCTCCTTGACCTAGTATATTACGTGCTGAAATCTTTTTCTTTTTTCTAGTAAACACTCTTGCAATTTGCATAAACTTTTTCCTTGAAGCTGTGAAAGAAAACAAAAATTATTATTAATTAATAATATATTTATTATTTCACCTTATCTTACCTTTTCCCATATTTTTCAATCGTTCTTTAAATGCATCATCATCATTTTGCATATTAGTAGTCACAAAAAATTTTTGTTCTTCCAAAGGACTATCTGTAAAAATATAATGTAAGTAATGTTAAAATTCCTAAGATATTATTATACACAGAGTGATCTTGCTTCATGTTCTGACAAATCATATAACTTTTGATTCATTTATTTTGAATTTTCTTTAAAATAAAAAAATATTTCACATTTTATTATTATATCCCACATGTATGACAATTATTTATAATATAATTATATTTGTACAGAATTTGTAGACTACTTAAAAATACATTAAAACTTTTAATATAATAAATAAATAGATAATAAATCAAATTAAGGTCCTGCATCTTAAAAATTTTAATTTAATGTAACTCAAAATAGTACTATTTTAATAGAAAACATTCGCACCTTTCTCTAAGCTAGAAAGAAAATACTCGTTTTCTCTTAGTTGTACAATAAATTCTTCATTTTGAAGTAAAATGGCTATTTGTTCATCATTGAGTTCATTATCTGACAACTATAATGATTGTATTGAGTATTAAATTTTGAGCAAACTACTCTCATAAATAACCCTTATTATAAATATTCACCTGAGTATTACAGTTAATAGTGAGTCTGAGGAAATCTCTAGGTAAGGGTCCTAATAATGGAGGATTCCAGCGCTTTGAATCATGATTATGCTCGTTAATTTGCGTAAGATTATGCAAAACATCTGGTAACCTAGAGACATTTTTTTATTAAACTATTGATTTTTATTTTATTTTAAATAAATACATAGAGTCCATAAAATTTTGTTGAGGTTTAGCATCTGGTAAACCACCATCGTCATTAGATATCGAACCACTTGGTTCGAAATCTATTCTACAATCATTGCTCATTGTAAGTAGTTGGTCAATAGTCGGATTGACACTTCCTTTATTAGAACGTAAAACATTTTCGATTACATCATTATCCAACGTTGGGAACATAAATCTAAAGTTATTCATCACTTCTTTAAAATCCAATCCAACAGCTGCTGCTGATTCTGAAGAACCTTTAACCTCTCTTTGCACGGTAGCCATTATTTTATTTACACTTAAAATTTATTTTTGAACAATTTAAACAATAATTCAAGAAGCAAATTTTAATAAAGTCCAACTAAGTTTTTCAAGAAGAATGTTTATTGAAGAAATAATAAGCAAGTAGTAAAATTTAACACTGGACACACATGACCAAAAAATCAATAATCCGCAGTGCTGTCCTCTAGGATTAGAAAAGTAACTTCATATTAAAGTGTACAATCCACACACTTCCATATGTGACATTGTTTATTATTTCTGACATTGACTGACACTTCTGACAGTAAAGTTGACAAAGGCTAATAAAATAAATAACTGAAGAAGTGAATTTAGTACAGAAATACCCTCTCAAGAAACAAATAAAAATCTATTCAGCATTACAAGCTCTGAATTATTAAATAAATAACTATTAATTAAATAAGGGTTGATATAAGCATAAAATAAATAAAGTCATTAAATTGAACAACAATTGTGAAAACAAATACACAATAATTTAAAATCTTCTCACTAAAATTTTTAAATATCTTATGAAAATTGTCATGAAATAAATAAAAATAAAACTAAAAGATTAAAATTTCATATATATTTGTAGGAAGAAAACTTAATTAAGAGTATCTTATTATATAATATAACAAGGAAAAAAACGCTTTTCTGGGAAAATTACTTAGCGTGCTCGGATTTTCAAATTTTTTTTTTTCAACGAAAGTACTCGGTCACCAGACTCCGGGAAAATTATTGGCGAAAGTCGGAAAATTTTTGCCGCTCGCCCGCGAGCGTTTTAAAATTTCGACCGTTTTCGAGAAAAACGCTCGCTGACGTCAGCGTTTTACGACTTAAGGTTTGAAATTTTCATCAGACCCGCCCAATGACATTCCTGAGATATGATAAAAAATCAATTCAATCCGTTCATTTTTCACCGTTTTACGAGCTTTTTTTTTTTTCATGCGCTCGTGACGCCAGGGCACGCCTCCCGAAATTCTTGCGACACTTTAAGACATGAAAACGATTTTTTTTACGATTCGCAATCATACCACGGCGTTCTGTACGTGTCGAGGAAGCGCCAAAAATCGGAAAATCCGAAATCCGACAAAAACTCTGGCCTCTACGAGCGTTTGAAATTCATCAAATTTTAACGGAAAATGACGATTTTTCTGTTTGCTAATAATACACATGTACGCGTCCTATTATATTATTTTTTTTTAAGTCCACGCGCATGGTTGTAATATGAGCAGTGATTCATTTCTGCTCATACGTTCATTATGAACCTTAATTATATGGTGTAATATGTATTATTATTAGGACACTATTTTGCATTTGCCCTATATTTATCAAGGAATGTTATATGTTATATATAAATTTCATGACGTTATAATTATATAAGTTTGTACTTTCATTATAAGAACAGTACTAAGTACAGAGTTAATAATTTTCTTTTTTCTCATATATGATGTATGAGACTATGAGTTTATCTTTTGAATTGAGATTCATCTATGATAATTATGATGTTCATCTATAATATAAACACAATTATTATAATTAGATTATTAATAATTTTTGTGTATAACAGGGGTGTATTTAAGAGAGATTGGGCCCTCTTTGAACAAGCGCTATCAATATTTTTTTAGGCAACTTCTAATATATAAGGACCTAATATCCTTTTTTTTTCATCATTACTTTAATTTTAGCAAAAAAATTTCTATAACATGTTTAACAAAGTAAAAAATATTAAATTTCCTCCTAAAATAATTTTTGAATAGGCCTAAAGGGAATACCTCATTAAGATGCGTCAACCTTATACCCAATACATTTTACTATATTCTCTTTTTGAATTTTCCTGATTTTAATAATAACATTTTTAAATATAGTTGTGTTACACTGATTCTGAAGTAATATATTTTCTGAAAAACACTTATCGTGCCCGGTGTAGCCGGGTACTTCTACCGGAATCAGTGGCCTACTTATGATGACGGCTCGAAGAGGCTTACGCGCCGAAGGCGCGTAAGGCTCGAAGGGCCCCGGGTCTGGGGCGGAGCCTAGTAATGTTATATTATAATATTCTCAGACAGACAATTAAAATTATAAACTAGTTAAGGGAAAACTTCACCTCCACACATACCTGACTTTAATTATCAGTTTATTCGATTAAACACTAATTATTTTTAGGCTTTTTATGAATTATACATCAATTAACTAATTAATTAAGCTGCCAATAAACCTAAAAGATATTTAAAAATGCAATTTTCATATTAGGAAAGCTGACCATAAATAGTTGTAGATAACATACATGTTATGTATTCCAAATACTTTTTATAAATGATTTCTTTTACTTCGCCTTAATCCCAAGTACTTGGGGGTCGGCCACCCTTATCCTAAACTTCCACTTGGCACGATCTCTCACATCAGCTGTCCTCATATCGCATTAAATAATATCCCTCCGTCCCTTTTTTGGTCATCCTCTACCTCTTCTTCCCTCTACATACTTTATATAAATATTAGAAAAAAAATGTTTATTTCACAATTTATATTTATTATATGTTATCATAGACATAGTATAGAGCAATATATTACAGATGTATTAGAACAATATTACAACTACTTATAATAAATATATCTGTACGAAAAACTTATTAAAGACCCGAAGTAGGCAGTTAAATAAATTATTTTATTTATTGTATTAAATATCATATTACTGATTTTATTAAGAATTAAGTTTCTTAAGATACTTTTTTTTTATTTATTTATATGCTAAATATGAATTTATTTGAATCAAATAACTTATATAAAGTTAAATTCTAACAAGACTTGTAAAGAAACACAGTAAAATTTTTAACTGACAAACTACAATGAAAACTTTTTTTAATCATTTTTTACTCATATTAAGCTAATTAAGGGCAAAAAAAGGTCAACAAAATTTTTTTATTAGCATAGCACTGCCAATGTAGGGAGGAACACATGTCATTATACTAATTCTAAATATGCAACTGAATTCACTAGATTCATTAATGTAAATTTTATACTAAAAATAGAGTACAAAATACATCTTATTAAATAATAAAATATTAGAAAATTAGCCAATGCTAGAAAAATTACTTAACGATGTCCAATTTTCAAAAAATTTTTTTAAATGAAAAGTTCGGTGACGTTATTCTCAGAAAAATTTTTGTAGAAGCATTTAAAAATTTTGTCAAAGACACATTATGTTACCGCCAATATTTTTCGATTTAAAATCTAAATTTTTTAACAAGCTTGCCCAGAGACGTTCGAAAGGTGTCCTGAAAATTTCATTGATATTTGTTGGTTTTTGACCAACTTATTAGTTTTTTTTGTTACTCTGGGCACTCCGTCTGTGTCGCCCGAATTTTTTGTGGGGCACTATCTCCATGAAAACTATTTTTTTTGGCTCATATATCATTATATATCATATATCATAGATATCTACACGCTACAGGGAAGGTAGAAAAATCCGAATATAGACCAAAATTCTACCCACTGTGAGCGTTTAAAATTTACATACTATTATCTAATTATATAATAAAACAGTTAAAAAATTATTTAATAATATTAGGTAATTAAATGAAAACGATTTTTTAATCCATGCGCATAATTTTTATTTGAACACTATTTTGAGTGTATGCGTTATATAATTAATTAGTTTCCAATGAGAAAATCACAAGAAAAACCTCGTCGTTGGCTTCCTGGGAATCGAACCCGGGACTCCTTGCACCAAAACACTGTTTCTACTTACAAAACTTTTTTTTTTTTTTTCCCCACAATCCGGCATACTATGGACCGCCCTGGAACTACCGCGAGGTATTGCTTCAGGGCGGCTACTTACAAGACTAACCCTGTAATATAGGTCATTATTTTGTAAAATTGAAAACAAAGCATTTTTGTAATGTTTGGTTTAACTATGAATTTCTTGATCTATTATTACAAAAATATAATATAGTCTATTATTTGTAAACCTAGATGTAGAACACTTTTGTAATGTTTAGATTAATTGTAATTCCCAAATTATTGTTACTATCAGGAAGTAAATATTTATAAACATTTTTGAAAATGATTACTATATGAATTTTATAAAAAGAAAAACAAAATATGTTAGTATATAAGATGAAATGGAATGAATTGAAGAGAGGTGAGAGAAAGAGAAGACCTCGGGAGACCGAAGGTAATCTCTTTCCGTATGGTACGTTTGTGACATTAAGTTTTTATTTTGTGTATTATTTATTTATCCGTTTTTAAGTGTATCAATATTTTATATGTTTTATTTTGATTGATTATATCTTTATTAACTACATTTTGCGTTATTATTGAACTACTATAACTATAAGTTAGAACAAAAAGATTGTTCCATATATAAATACAACAACCCCTTATACACAATTTCAAAAATGAAGTTACCAAAGATAGTGTGTTNGGAAACACTATCTACAGATTTGCATCGAAGCGTTTCTTATGATAGTGATTTTAATCACTGTCAGATATCATCTATACTTGTCCCATCTATGCCTCGTACACACTGTGCCTCGACCCCACTGTGCTACCGTTTTTTTAAATTGTACTCATTTTAATAGTTAAATTTTTGCTATACTAATTGTGAAATAATACTTTTTGTGTAAAAAACTATCGTGCGCGTCGTAGCCAGGAACTCCAACCGGAAACTGTGATTTACTCAAAGGGCTCGACAGATTGAGGAAGAACTTATTTTTTTTTAAATAAGTTCTTGCTAAGCCCCCAAAATAAATGAACGAATTATTGTAGATGACCTTTAAATAATTAATTGAAATATAAATAAAATTACTTTTTATTTCAATAATAGTTATTAACAATAAGTATAATCTAGTATTACTATAAAATAACATAAATACTATTTTTGTAACTATAACTTGTAATTTACGTTACTATCAAGCAACGTTACAAGTTACTATCGAACACTGAACTATAGGCGTTAAAGTCAAAAATAGTACATAGGACAAACATTTTTTTAATGTTATAGTCTCTATCTATTTCTCGAGAATCGCTTAACCATTTTTTTTGCTCTTCACTTCAAATAATAATCTTTCAATAATTGGAAAAAAGGGATAGAAACATACATCTCTTAAAAAACTAGGTTATTTATAGTTGGATGACTTTTTTAGTAATTAAAGAAAATATTTTTGAAAATATCCCAAAAATAGATTGCATTTATATATTTTGCAAATAAAATTTTGAAGCTATTATGAAAAAATCTATTGAATAGAAATTATTAATCAGGTTATAAAACTTTATAAACTTCAATAACAGAAGTTTTTAGTTGTAGCTAAGAGGTATACAAGAACTGTCTATGAACTCAGATCTTTAGGTCCTTAATGTGCACATAAATAAATTATGTCTTCAGTTCACATTCATTTATCTTTTAATTACTTGATTTACATACCAAATATTTACATGATAAATATCAACTAATCACCCACCCACTCCTTTTGAAGGTAGGGTTTTTTTTTACCTAGAACATATTTTTAATTTGTCTATGTCAGACAAAGATACTAAAAGAGGACTTAGATGTAATGCCTCCTAAAAATTTGAGTTAAAACTTTAGATTAAGTCCTCTTTTTCAAAAAATAGTTCTCACTTTAACAGAGATAGTGAAATGTCCCTCTAAAAATCTTTTCTAAATACCCTTTTCCCACCAAAAATAACTAAATTTACTCCTTTTTCAACTTATTAGATAATGAAGAATTAAAGATTATTTGAATATTGCAAGGAGAGAAAAATGATAAAAGTAAATTTTTTTTGATATTTTATTATAATTGTTATTATCAAAGAATAAAGAAATAGTGAATTGTTAAAAAAGTTATTTATTCTTCTCCATTTTCTTGATTCTCAACCTTCTTTTTTTTAGATTTCTTTTCCTTCTTAGATTTTTTACGTTTAATAATTGTATTTAAACTTTCATTCTAAAATAATAATAGCAAAATTATTAATAAGAAATAATTTTAATATTAGTCTATGTACTTGTTGCTGTAGAACAAGTGATTCTTGTAATGCCTCATGCATGACATCAACATTTTTAGGAGGTTTTTCACCAGTTTCAAAATATTTTAGTCTATCTTCACATTGTTGTTTCATTTTTTGTCCAAATATATTACATGGATTTTCTAAAAGTATTTATAAATATAAATCATTTTTTAAATTAAATAGTTAAATAAAAAATACCTGCAAACGCATCTATACGACTTGCAATACTCAATTTGTTAGAAAGGAAACGAGAAGCACGACCTTTAAATTGTTTCCCAGCACGACCAATGAACGTTGAATGATAAATTAAACCATATTTCGGTGTACTAGTTTTAGTTTTCATTGCCCTAAAATATTTAAAATTTTTTTTTCATTTCAGTTTAAATACTGGACAAAGTGAAAATATGTAACTGCTTAACATATTAAATTAAATGTAAAATTACTAAAATTAAAAACAGCCATTATAATACATACCTAAATAAAGCCTTTTCGGCACCTAAGATTTGAACCGTAGAAGCTGGACATTTCGCTAGATTTGTCAATGAACCAGCTTTCGAAATGAGACGTGCTCCTACTTGTTCACCAATTAAAGCAGCCATATTTGGAGCAACTGTGCACATTTTATTTTTCAAATATTCAGAGAGACTCTTTCTATACTCAGATAATGATATAACACGTTTGGTGAACAATAACACATTACACAAATCAACAGGAGAGATATCCATTCCTTTAAATATTCAAATAATGAGGATATAAATACAAGGTGTGACATAGAATCCTATCATATTTAAAATCTTTAAAACATCTCATAAGATTATCATACAAATTATATTTTTTTTTGTTTATGAAAAGATCCTAAAATTCACTAATTTTTATTTGACATAAAGTTACAGGATCATTTTGTTTTAAAAAATTACTTCACATAGATACCTCTTCAAAGTTTTACACAATTCTCATTCTGTAATCCACAATCACTCTTTTGGTCATATTTATAGAAACTTGGACAGATTATTTGAAATTACTTTAAGCTGAACAAAATTTCTTGGCTTATTGGCATAAATTTTGGATTTGAGAAATTTCCATAAATAGAAGTTTCAACAGGATAAATCCAGGGAGCATGGCAACCAAAGAAAATTACACGTGTAAGAGATTATTTAATTATTTATGTTTTAATACCGGTTTCCTACACAGTATGGTTATGTTGTCATCTTGCTGAAATCATTTCACAGTTTTTGTTTTCTCAATAAAAATATGGCCAAGATAAACTTCTGAATCATTCACTGGTAAATTTCGCCATAAACATTTTTACAATCGAATCGAACACATGATTTTATCTGGCTGACATGCTATGAGAATGCATCATATTGTGACTTTTTTCTATGGAATTTGTCGAATCCAAAGTGTAAGTGAATAAGCCAAGGAATCTAACACAGCTTTGAGCGAACATCAAAGAAAAATTGTTCAAAATTTCCATTAATATGACCAAAAAAATTATCGTTAATTTCAGAGCTGAAAATTATGTAAGACTGAAGACATCTAAATGATGTAATTTTTAAACGGGAAATACCTGTGAACATTTATTTTTTTCTTTTAAAAATTCATTTACCATCTGTAGAATGTATTTTCAGTGTTTGGAGCCTAATATGAAGTCTAAAAAGTCCCTATATAGTTCCCATAGTGAAGCCCTCTAAATCTACTTAAGTAGGTAAGTGCACGCTCACTCTTTACGACCTTAACCAATTCATTTTTGGACTAAACAAGTTTTCTAGTTCTCTTTTTGAAATAAGGGGTGGTCATTTCTAACAATTATGTGGCTTGTGTAATAGTCATTTTGCATAATGACTATATAAAAATCATTATAAACTATATTTTTCACAAACAAAAACAAGTTTTTTTTGTGCAATGTAACTCAAAATGTAATCAAACACTAGACCTAAAATTTTTTTTACGAATATTCCATAACTTATGGGCCTCTGCATGAATCTAAAATTTTAATTTAATAAATATTGTTGTAAAATAATTATTTTATGCAAAAAAAGGTTTTTTTTTTATTTTTGTCCTTTAATTTTTATTTTTCACTTTATTTGCTAACTTTACGTTTATGCAAAGCAGAATAAAATATTTTAATGAAAAATTTTTTAAAAAATTGATAACATAACATTAAAAAACCTGGGAGTTGCACGGCACAAACCCGAAGAGTCAACTTTAATGAGCTGTGACTCATTATCAATTTTTTATTATACCTATTAATGTCAATAATATCATGTAATTTTCAGAATAATAAATGCTTTTAAATTTTCATAAAAAAATAATTGAAAAATGTCATTTACAGATATTTTCCCCTTAATAACAAAATTATATTGTTGTAACTATTAATGTCAAATAAAAACTTATAATTATATAAAAAATATTTTGTATGATAATTTTATTAGAAGTTTTGGAGAATTTAAATACAATAGGATTCTGTGTATCATACTGCATAGGACTTTTTGATAATAATTTTATAAAAATGGAATTTATAGACTATCTAACATATAAATGACATCAATTACCCATAGATGATTTAGCAGCACTAAAAATAGCAGCTGCTTTTCCAGAATCCATAACAATTTCTTCTAAACCTTCGAACTTTTCATCAATGAGTTGTTTACGATCACCAATATATTTTACAACTTTAGCAAACAAATAGTTTTCAGGTACAATTTTGTAAAGTTCTGGGAAATGATAAGAATACCATTCTCTAAGACACAAAATAATTAATCATAACAATTAAGTACCTTCACAACAAATAATAAATTTTCAACTTAAAATTATTCCATAAAAAAAAATAAAAGTTAATTTTTATTATTTGTCAATTAAAACTTTATAACTATGTATTTAGAGTTTAAAATTTGTTATTTATTATGGATATATTATATAATACTTTATTATACCTTATACGCATAGAATATGTATTTAAATCCTTGTCTAATTGATCAAGTAAAGATACACTATGAATTATCATATTATCAACTTTGTTAACATTGAACTTTACTTTAGCTCTAGAATAGCTATGACCAAGACCCAACTGAGCTATACCTTCTAATTTAGGAGCAAATCCCTTCATTAGAGAAGGAAAATGATATCTTATCCCTACACAAATCAGACAGTTTATAATATAGTACTTACAAGTTTCATAAAAGAATAATAAATAGTATATTAAAAAACTTACCTGAAAAAAATAATTATAATTAATATTGTTATTTATTTAAAAAATATATATATAAATATTACACATTAATAATGATAAGCAAAAATTAAATGAACTCTGGATATGTTCAACTATATAAACTTTATTATAAAGCGTTAAAAATTGAACCAAACACACCTCTCAATATTTCAAGTACATAACCAGTATGTTGAATCTTAAGACCAAGTTTTTCATTTATGCTTGCCCCTAATTTGCTGTCAGATACTCCCAATAATACTTTTGACATTTTTCCCACTTTAGGTACATTGGTTTCTAAAAAAACTTGTAGACTCTCTGGCAATAAACCTACGAATGTTACAATAAATAACTTGATGAAATCAGGATACACAGCTATTGGTCATCATTTGTAATTGTACCTTCTGAAATGCTATTAATTGCTTCCAATGCATCAACAGATGTTTTGAAAGGAGCAAATGCCAATAACTCAACAATTTTTGTAAAGCGCTGTAAATCACGTACAGCTTTTTCAACTTGTGCTAATTCTGAACCTATATCTTCAAATTCTTTAACTTTAAACAATGTGAAGCCAGTGGCGTGCTCGTAAAGGATTGTTAGCTTTGCCTGTGGAAACGAAGACATTAGAACGAATATCCTTCTTATTTATAGTTTTTTTAAACTTAGCCAATATAAGTTATAAATATGTTATATCACCAAAATCCCATTTATACAATAATTATATCAAATTATCTGATTTTTTTAAAAACACTCATAAAGTAGTTTTCTGAAATGTTATGCATTTTTGAAAAATGATATAAATAAGTAAACAGTCAAATTGTAAAATATATAGTTTACAATTATAAACAAAAAAAGATTACAATGTAGTTAAGTTATAAAATAAATTGATAAAGCTATCAAAATAAGTAACAAGAAAAACAATAAATTTATAATTTAAAAATGTAGTAGTTATTGAATAATAATGAAGTTTAGTACCAAGACTAAAACTAAGTTATTAATAGTTAGCAGTATTCATAAAAACAATTATTTTAACAGAATTAGCAAATTATACAAAATACATTAATTTATAATTGAGCTTATTAATAAATCAATGTATAGTAATACTCAAGCAACTAACAAATGTACCACACTAAAAAATAGTTTTTACGTTGTGTAGCAAAATAGCTTATTTAAAATTAAAAACTCATAACTTCATTGAAGATCATAAAAAAATATCCTTAATAAAAGTATACATGAATGTATAATATACAAAATGCACTCAAAATTATTGTAAACTTCTTATTCTTTTATAAAGTTTAGATTCATAACATGATATAATGGAATCAGGATAATAAATTAAGGTATTAAACAAACATTTTATTAGTATCATAAAAATAGTTTATTGAATGATAATTTATTTACCAATAAGTCATATTAACACTCATTCATGGGTATACTATTAGATTCAATGTATTGACAATTTTTCATAAAATTTACACCATGTTTAAAATATACACTTCCATCTCAATGTTTTAATGAATAACAATTTTCACTTAGGCAATACCTTATATGGTTTAAACATATTATGAGATGACTTTTTCATAAGAAAGTATAAAAATACTTTGCAATTTTAACTATACCAAATCACGGGTATATTAAAAAATTAGAAAAAGGTAACATTGTAATTCAATGAGGATTATATGAAAAAAGTAACAACTATATTAAATAGTTGTACAATATAATTACAAATAAATCAATACAAGACTATGTGACATTTATTAGTGCATTAAAAAAAAAATTGAATTTTAAACATAATAATGTCAACTAAAGATATTTAATTAAATTAGTAGTAAACAGACACCAAAAAAAAAATATATATATATGTATTTATAAATAAAAAAGAAAAATATAAATATATATTCTTAAACTGAAGTCATGCCACTAATTTAATTGCGAATAAAATAGCATACCTATACTACAGACATCTGTCATATCATTAAGGCAATAAGGTGGAACTAAGAAGATTTGTGTATTTTGTGCAGATAATTAAATTTGATCACAACATTTAGTGGAACTATATGAAATATTTTTCTAAATAAAAATTTTAATGAATTATTGAGGCATTGTAAATTTAAGTATGAAAATAATGAAACATTATTTAATTTGTTAAATTTTCAAGAAAAAGTTAATATGAACTGTCATATAATAATTAGTTTTTATTTCTAGATGGCACCAACAGTTTTGTAAGAGAAGAAGTCTCTGGAAACAAATTGTGATAGTTTGCAACGGGTACATATGCTGCAGTGATCACTCTTCCACCAAACCACCTTCCATGTAATGCAGCAACTGATGCAAGTGCAGTTTCAATAGTCGTACATTTGACATAGACATTGCCCTGTGGTGATGCTTTATCAACATAAACGTGAAGGACTCCACCATGTTTGTTACATTCTTCAATAACATCATCTTTTATTTCATTTTCCCAATTGGTACTTTCAGCAACATCTTCTTTATTTGGATCAAACATATTAGCCAATAAAAAACACTGAGTAGCAATAGGAGGTGTTACTTGAACAGTAGGTGTTGTTGACGTAGGAGTTACTCCAGTAGCAACTTGCAAGGCATTAGCAGCAGCTTGAGGAATTGGAAAACCAGTACCTTCTGCTAATTTATACATTAATTGTAGTCTACCAGTAGCTCCCAAATCATATCCAGCTCTATCTAACTCATCAACTTCAAATGCAGTTTTATCATACATTGAATGATTTTCTGTAACATGACCAACTTTCATTGGACGTCCAGCAATTTCAAACCCATTTAAATGTTCAAGAGCTTTTTTAGCATCTTCTGCATTGCGATAAGTTAAAAAACCATATCCTTTTGATCTTCCAGTTTCAGAATCCATCATAAGCTGTATATTATCAACATGACCAAATGGTTCAAAAATACCCCTTAACATATCTTCTGTGATGTTATAATGCAGTGAACCTACATATAATTTCATAGGTCCATAATGAGTACGTTGTACCATATTAGGCATAGAATTAGCCATTCGATTTTTTTCAGCTTGAGTAGGTTGTACTACTATAGGAACACCAAGAAGTTTTTGTCCATTTAAACCCATAGCTAAAGGTACAGATTCAGGATCTTTAAATTCTATATATGCTATTCCTTTAAAACGTCGTGTTTTATTACAAGTAATCATTCTAACATCTCTAACTTTGCCTACTGATGAGAAAAATTCTTCAAGGTCTCTTGCTCTAATAGTTTTAGAGAGCTGCATACAAAATACAGTTCTAGCATCTCTTTCTTCTGGTGTTAACATACTAGCTGGTGGTACTTTAGATGCAAGAGGAGATGGTTTTCTACCATAACGAGGAGGAGGCAAAGGAGGTCCATATTTAGGTAACTTAATAGGAGATTTCGTTCGACTACGCTTTTCTTTAGATCTTCGACGAGAGTGTCGATCCCTTGAACGACTACGATATCTATCCTTAGAACGACTTTTATGTCTATGTTTACGATCTTTAGATCGACTTCTTTTACGAGATTTATCACGAGATCTAGATCTAGAACGATGACGGCTTTTATGTGACTTTTCTTTACGAGATTTGTCTTCAGTACCGTTACTATCTTTAGGTTGTGATTCAGGTTCTTTTTTGTTATAAGGGGCTTCAAGCAATGCTTCTATGTCAAAATCGTCTGCCATTATCAATTTGACTGGAGATGAAAGGAAATGGCAGGAAAAAAATTGTGTAACAAAACAAATAATATTAGTTCGACTAAGCTTCGGACTTAAAAATATGGTTTTCTAAATGATTTCAAATAATAAGACGTGATTATGCAACTCAAAATTTAAGTTCAATTTAATTAATTCCTGTATATATCAACACTACTTAGTTATCGAATGCTTATAGTTAACACAGTATATGCACTTTTAGAACACATTCTACAGACCATTACACATATTGCTTAAAAACCAAATCATCTACCTATAAAGTGTTTATAAACTTTGAATAATTAAAAAAATCCTTTGTTTTTTATATCAAAGTAGGAGAAAGCACTGAACTGCATAATCACCGAATGTTAACAAGATTATAATTCTTTACTTACCATTATCAATAGTAAAGTGAAAATATACGAAGAAAATGTATAGAACTTCAGTTAGAGGTGATGTATTACAATTAACAACATAATACTCACAATAAATTGATTTAACATAGAAAAATACGTGCACTAAAAAAACCACAAAACTGTATTCGACAAAAACGTGTTTACAGACGCCTCACATAACGCCTGCTTAGATATCTAAATAATTGAAAAAATATGGACCTTGTAAAGTATAAAATGATGAGGGGGAGTACCAACAACCTAACTTCATGGTAACACCGTATATACATAATACGAGAACAAGTTAACCTAAAATATTTTCATTGTAGTTCTTCTATAAACCATAGTACAAATTGAAAATAACTTGTTACCAGGTTTAACCATTTAGTCAACAGATAAATGTATGTGATAGTGATTTTATAGCAAAACAGAACTACAGCCACATAATAGCGCATTAGGCATTACCAAAGATTTTTACAAGACATCATATTAACAAATATTATGAGAGTTTTATAATATATCTGTAGGTAGTACACACATAACGTATCACTATTTTAATAAATAAAATATTATTACATTATCCATAGGTTCAAATTAAGGGGATAAGCCCTCGCTAATTCTTCAATAGCTTTACTTCCCAAATATTGACAAATTATAAATTTTACAAAAAAAAAAAAAAAGCAAGGAGAAAAGTTAAATTAAATATTTTCTAATGCTACAGCAAAGCTATTACCCTAGACTTTGATCACGCGGGGATTTAGAAAGAAAAACATCAGCCGATTATATAAAAATATATTAATTTTACTATAATGCGTTTTTTCTTTTCTTTTTTTTGTCTGTCGCCACTTTTTCTCAGCTCTCACCGAACTGATTTCTTTCAACGATACGTCAAAAAAGAACAAATCATATCTAGTCGAAGACATTACGCTAAAAATTTGATAAGTTCCCTTCGTTCCTCGTAAATGGGGGATATCTCCAAAAAAATGATAAAATTTAAAAATCGCTAATTTTCGAAATTTTAGCTTCGATGCGAAGCTGAGAAGGTATTGGTTTTACTATGATGTGTTTTTTTTTTTTTTTTTTTGTGTCTGTTACCACTTTTTCTCAGCTCTCACCGAACGGATTTCTTTCAACGATACGTCAAAAGATCACAAATCGTATCTAGTCGAAGACATTACCCTTCAAAATTGAAAAAAATTCCCTCGTTCCCCGTAAATGGGGGAAACCTCCAAAAAAATTACAAATTTAAAAATCGCTAATTTTCGAAATTTTTTCAATTTTTTTTACTTAAAAGTGCCATAACTTTTTCAAAAATAAACATATCAATATAATTCTTTTTTATATAGATGCATAATATCATTACCTTTCATTTGGTATATTTTTTTCATAAATTTAACCCTTAACCTGCCCACAAGGGGGGATTTAAAATGACAACTTTTTCACAAAAAATTAATTTTTTTAACTTAAATTTTGAAAATGTTCCGGAAGGTCTGACACTTTTATATATATCTTAAATTAAAGCTAATGTAATATGCTTTATCATGAAAAAAAAAAATTTCGGACTTTATCTTATCTTCATGGTGAAAATGGCTACCGAATGCTATTTTTGTGTGAAAATTTTCGATTTTGTATTTTCCATTTTTAACTTTATTATGCTATAACTTTTTGAAAAATGTATGAATCATTACAATTTTTTTATGAGAAGTAGTATTTATATAGATCTTTCATTCGACATACTGTTTTTTTAAATCGGACCATTTCCCTAAATACAGGGGGGATTCAAAACATAAAAATGCATATAGAAAGTAGAACTTTTTCAACGTAACTTTTGAAAGTGTTCCGGAAGGTCTGACACTTTTATATATATCTTAAATTAAAGCTAATGTAATATACTTTATAATGGTAAAAAAAAATTTCGGACTTTATTTTATCTTCATGGTGAAAACAGACATTAAACTTAATAAAAAAAATACGATTTTTGTAAAAAAATTCTTTTTTATATTTTTAACTTTATAATGCTATAACTTCTCGAAAGATGTATGGATCAATATAATTCTTTTTTTTGTAGATGCATGATGTCTTTACCTATCATTTGGTATATTTTTTTTATAAATCTGACTTTTTACCTGCCTACAGGGGGGGATTCAAAATGACAACTTTTTCACAAAAAATTGACTTTTTCAACTTAAATTTTGAAAGTGTTCCGGAAAGTCTGACACTTTTATATATATATTAAATTAAAGCTAATGTAATCTACTTTATTATGTAAAAAAAAAATTTCGGACTTTATTTTGTCTTCACGGTGAAAATGGCTACCAAATGCTATTATTGTGTGAAAATTCTCAATTTTATTTTTTACATTTTTAACTTTATAATGCTATAACTTATTGAAAAGTGTATTGATCAATATAATTTTTTTATGGGAAATACTATTTTTTAATAATCCCTTTTTCATTCGACATACTTTATCTTAATCAGGATATTAATAAGGAACTAGCAGTTTATGAAGCTTTTGGAATAATCCACCAATTTTTTAAAATTAAACACTATCTAAAGATTTGCATCGAAGCGTTTTTTTTTTATAGTGATTTTAATCACTGTCAGATATCATTATACTTGATCCAACTATGCCACGTCACCACTGTGCCGCGACCCCCCTGTGCTGGGTTTTTTTTTTACTTAAAACTGCCATAACTTTTTCAAAAATTAACGAATCAATGTAATTTTTTTTTAGAAATGCATGATATCTTTACATATTATTTGATATATTTTTTTATAAATTTGACCCTTTACCGGCCCATAAAGAGGGATTCAAAATGACTTTTTCACAAAAAAAATAACTTTTTCAACTTATCTTTTTAAAGTGTTCTGGGAACATACTTTTATATATACCTTAAATTAAAGCTTATATAATATACTTTATTATGAAAAATAAAATTTCGAACTTCACGGACATTTTGTCTTCACGATTTAAATGTGTTCCGTATGCTATTTTTATGTTAAAATTCTCCATTTTATATTTTACATTTTTAACTTTATAATGCTATAACTTTTTGAAAAATGTATGGATCAATACAATTTTTTATGAAACATAATATTTATATACCTCTTTAATTCGACATACTTATTTTTAAATCGGACCATTTCCTTTAATACAAGAGGGGTTTAAAACTTAAAAATGCATATAGAGAGTAGAAATTTTTCAACTTGTTTTTAATTAAAATATATTAATTCCCTTATTAAAACACTTAAAACTTATAAAACAAATAAAGTATCAAATAATTATAATACCAAAAATCATAATGTTATGTTAGTAATAAATGCAGGAAAAAAGATAATATTTTCGGTAAAACTATTGCAAAATTTGATAAAATAGACTAATAATTAGTCTATTTTATACTACTTACAATTATTGTAAATAGTACAAAGATATGAAAATACTTAAGTTTTGAGATTTGATTAAATTAAACACACTTCAAAACTTTTAATTGTGACACAGTATTTCATGAACTCTTGATATAAAATTTTTAAGTGATTGAAGCGTAATTAAAATTTTTTATCAAAAGAGTACTACACTATGACATCCCTAGGGGTGAATAGACACCTCTATGACGAAAATAACTACATATTCCAATAAAAACCCTAAGACAAAACTTTAATAAATTTTTAAGTTAGATTAAACCGATACTATCAGAATTTTTAATTAGCAAATTTATTCAAATGACTGAATTTTTTTACAAATTTAACAAGAATTGTTTAGCTGTAGATGTTTTACTATTCCAAATTCTGTTATCATTTCATTATCCACTGTATAACTAACAACAAACTTTAAAGGTAAGAAATCCTACAAAAAACAAAAAAAAAAAAAATGAATATTAAACATTTACACATAAAATAGTTTGTTCAAAGACATAATTTGAAGCCAACCTTCTTACGAGTAGCAATTAAAAAAATTTGTACTATTGATACTTGAGGTAAAAATGTATTGTAAATTGGTAAATCTGTCCTTGATGGTGACAACAAACGTAATCTGCAATTCTAAGAACACAGTAATAACTAATAAAGATTTTAACAAAAAAAATCTTAGTAATATTTTAATTTATTTAAAACTGTTTAATTTAATAATAAATGAAATAATATATTATGTACTATGCTTCACCTAGCTAGGGTTCTACGAGACTCACGGGCCTTTAGCACGTAAGCCTCTTTGGACTATCCTCATAATTAGGCCACTGATTTCAGAAGGAGTACCCAGTTACATCAGGCACAATAAGTGTTTTGCAAGAAAAATATTACATCACAATCGATGCAATAAAAATATATTAAAAATTTAATTATTAAAATCAGGAAAATTCAAACAATAAAAAGAAAATAGTAAAATGTATTGGGTATTAGGTTGAACTTTGTTTACTGAGGTATTCACCAGGGGCATATTCAGAGATTATTTTAGGAGGATACTTATTTTTTTTTACTTAGGTAAACATGCTATAGAAATTGTTTTGCTAAAATTAAGTGATTATCAAAAAAAATAGTTAAGTCTAATATGTTACACATAACTTTTAACCATAAAATATTTAATTTTTTTTTTTTTTAAACCTTTACAGGTCAACATATCATCCAATAAGATATAGATAAAACTTAAAAAATATGATTCATGATGAAAAATTAAGTTGTGATAGTACAGATTTATAATGTCTTTAAATAAAATATTGAAAAACTAAATAATGTATCATTTATACAATATAAGTATATAAAATACTTACATTTGGGATTATTGGCTGAAATAAGAAATTATTAATGGGTTTTTTATTTTCACTTTTTGTAGTAACAACATATACACTAGTGTCATCTCGAAGTTTATTAGCTGCCAAATGGATATCAGTAATGATATCATTTTTGTTAAATACATTAACAAAAACTGGTTCATTATCTATAAACATTTTTTTAAATATTTAGTAAGACTCTGATATTGTTTAAAATTATCACATATGAGCTAACCATTTCAGAAAGTTAAAATATTGATCAATAAAGAGAATTAATTATGTAAATAGAATTAATTATACAGGATTTTTTTTTTTTTTAAGTTTAATGTATAATTACAAGAAATAATATTTTCCAGTTCAATCTCCAGATCACTTATGGGTTTCAAAATGTTATTATCAATTTTAAGATTTTCTATTTGTTCTGATTCATTTAATTTGAATGATACCACATCTTGTGAATCACAGTTTTTCATAGCAATAATGGTATCTAAGCTTTGAGCTGAAAAGGTCCTACAATAAAAAAAAAAAAATTATTTATACTTTAATATAATATTAAAATATTTTTCCTTGTTCTATTATATAATGAAATAATTATACTTTTTTCAATAAATTATATACATACTTTACTACTTTATTTGGTTTTTGTAATTTAGTTAACAAATCTTTTCCGAGATTATTAAGTTCTTCAAACAAATTATTCTTTATTATTTCATTTTGGCCATTTTTTTCATTGTTAAGTGAAGAATTTGGATTTTCTAATTCTATAAATGTTTTTTTTTTTTGTGAGTTTTAATGAATAATGGAAAATAAATAATTATCTTACCATTAACTACAGAAACTGTAGGTGAATTATTATTAGAAAATAAATGCTTAATTTTTGTATTACTAGTTAAAGCATCATTTATACAAGAACTAACAATATTTGTGCTTCCTAATAAATCGTGAGAATCTAAATAAAACAGAAAAATAATTTAATTATTTTTTAAAGAAATAATAACTTTAAATACCTGGAGCTACTGATAACGAATTGAAATCTAGTAGGTCTTCAATATCTCTTTGGCTATTTGATTCTTTATTTAAAGATTTTTCTATTGTATCAATATATATATTCAAAATTTCATTTATTTCATAACTTAAATGGATAATGTTTCCTGTAAATTATTTTTTTAATATTAATTTTCTATAAATATAAGTTTCTTCTTTTTAATCTAAGCAATAGGTTTTAAGAGTGAATTTTAAGCATAAATATAAAAAACCAAAGTATTTTAGTTTAAAAATACTTAGGGTGAAATTACTATGTCAATGTGTAAATCCTTCAATTTGTATGTCTAATAACATAAAGTTTTGTTTACGATTTATTTATTATATAACTTAAATACTATAGTAGCATTTTAATGATAAAATTTATAAGAGTATATTTTTATACATTTATTGTAAATATATAATTTTTTAGGGAATATTACTATTATTTTTTAAACAATTCAAATAAATAATAATATAATTCTTAAATGAACTTACTGACAATAATTTCATTATCTGGTATTTCAATAGCTAATATCATTTTTATGCTTGGTTCTAATTTTTTTACTTCAGTATAAAGTTCTTTGATAAGTTCCAAATCATGAGGTGAACTAGATTCTTTGTTATAAGACTTCAGCATTTCAGATAATAATTTTACACTGTTGGAAGCTACATCAATATCTGTGATCATTTTATTTAATTTTTCAGTTTTTTGCTCTTCCTTTAAAAATTATTATTATTTATAATTTAAAAAGCATTAAATAATACTATTAGACAAAAAGTGAAAGCGTATCAGACAACACCAATAAATTTAGGACAAACAACTACAGTAGGAAAAATGCAGTATTATTAACCCGCTTCAAGACATTTAATAATCTTTGTATTTCTTGACAATACAAAAATTATTCCTCAATGCCTCATGAAAAAAGATAACCTCTACAATATATCCAAAATAACCTTTAAGTAATATAACTACTACAGTAAAACAAATCCTAATTCTGTTCAGACAAAAAAATCCCATTTTACACCACATGTTAAAGTATTTCTAATTATAGAGAAGATAATAAAATAATTAATTTTCTAACAATATCTAAATAGTATAGCCTAATATAAAATAAAAATTTTAATAAGAAACCAACAACTCAAATGTAATAGCTAATTTAAAAATAAAAATAATATTTTTATTACTGTTATAATGTTATTTATTTAATTTAAATACATTTATTTTAGGTATTTCAACTACAAGATTTCCAACTTAAGATTTGTCATGTATTATATAATCAATGAAATTATTAAAATTATTTATTGTACTAAATTTATATGTACAGATTGTAAATATTCATTTTAAAAAAATATTATATAATACACATAATGTATTAAAAATGTATGATATATTATTATTTTATTATTAAATATTTAAAAAAAGATATAACTCATGTGTAATACCTCTTCTACCATAGATTTTATTAATTGATTAGCAGCTTTGAGGTCTTCTGGTTTTTTACTCTTGAGTAATTTCTGTAACAACAATGACTTTTCTTCATTTAGAATAGATGCTTTTTTTAATTCAGTGGATGAGGTTAATTCACAAGGGGGGCGATTCACATTTTTCATATCCTTAAATTGAAAAATTATTTTCCCATAATTAATGATATATTATAATTATATTTTTAATATTAATTACATTAACAACTCCTTGTTTTTTTAACATAGTAAAAGCATCCTGGATTTTAACATTATTTGGAAACTGGAATGACCACATTCTAAGGAGATCAATTATTTTATTTTTTAGTACTTCTGAAGTTTGAATTCCACTGTATTTAGGAGACACTAAACGTATTAGTTCATTCAAAAATTTAAATTTACCCACTTCAGCTTGGAAAGTTGAACTGCCAGTCTGCATACATATATCCAATAACTGAAAAATAGAAGTTATAATATCCTTTGTATTTATTTTAATTATTATTAATTTACATGAAGAGCTTGTAAAGCTTCCCATTCTTGCAAAGAATGAATTTTTGATAGAATATATTTAGCAGCTATAGGAGCACATTTTGAATCTTTTTGAACAAAACCACTAAATGCTAGCAATGCAGCACTATCCAACTTTTCATTGCTATTTCTAGTAGCTCGCTCTAAAATTTGATCAAAATTTATAAAAATAACAATTAAGTAAATATTTATTAACTGTACTTAATGTTAATATATTTTATGTGTTCTAAATACTTCATCAATTAAAGTATTTACAAAAACGTATTAATTAAAAACACTAACTACATTCTGCTTTATTTTCATATTTTTTCATTGCAAATTTGGGATATTTTTGATACCTGGTACTAAATGGTTAAGAATTAATACTATTTTATAAAATTATACCACTAGTAAATAGTACATAGGATAATATTTAGAGTAATAACACCAATAGTCTTAATATACATAGATTAAACCTATAATGATGAATAGTTTTTCAAAATGATTATACTTTTATATTAAAATTATGAGCACATAGGAAATTAGATAAAAAAAAATAAATAATAACTTTATTGTTAACCTAGCCATTATCGTGTCATTCAGTGGATTTTGAAATTTTATTTTTGAAATATTTATAAGAAGTAATGTATTTTATACATACATTAATATAGCATAATGAGCATTATTATTTAAAAAAATTTAATTATTACAAAGTAAATCAAGCTTTTGAAAAATTTTAATATTTGTTCTAAAACCAACTTGACCATATTATTAGAACTTAGATTTTATTGGTACTCAATATATAACATTATACATTTTTTATTTCACAAATTTTAGGAATTCTTAAGATTATTTTACTATAAAATTCCTCAAATCAGTACTCAATTAAAATTTTTTAATAAATATCTATGAAATTTATACTTTTAGCTATAAAATTTCCTTATAATGACAATGTAATAATTTTTTGTTTAAATTTGTAGTGCACATTATCATTCAACACAAAAAAATACATTTAGCAGCTTTAACTATTTAACATTAGCACAAATAAATTCATTTTAGTTCAATTTTCAAATGAACAAGAAACAAAAGAAATATAATAGTATATGTCAGGTATTTTTACTGATGCAGATATGCAATTTTCATCAGAATAATACTTAATTAAGTATAATTTTTATAAAATGAAAATAATTTTTTCTTATAATTTCATTAACTTTTTTTTGTTTTGTTAGTATAAAATTTATTTTATTGAATTCTTAATATATTAATAATAATAATAGTTTCTATTCTTAAATACTTAAAACAAATATATGTAATATATTAATGTAGTTTTGTAACTTTTAGAATAATTTTTAATTTGTAATCTAAAATTTTAAACTTTGCTTTTGTCTTTTGGTTGTTTTTTGCAAATAATTGCCTTTTCTACATGTTTTTCATTAAAAAATTATTATCTTAATTTTGGAAACTTTGCAAGTATAAATTTTATATACAGCTTCTTTTTTGAAACTTGATAGATATTTTCCAATTATTTTGCCACCAACAAGCTAAAACAATAAAATCATTATACATAATGAGAATAAATCAAACAAATTTTTATCTAAAACTCTAACATTAAAAAAAAATATAAAAAATAAACAAATTCTTCAATTGTTTTTTGTTAATTTTTTAAAATTTGTTATAATCATCATTTTTGATATACAAACTCATGATATTTTAAAATTAAAAACACTTACATATAAAAAAAGCAAATAAAAGTAAAAAAATAAATCAAATTTTCTATATCTAGTAAAAATATATCTAATAGTATTTTAAAATTAGATATATTTTTTTTAATAAAAAATTTAAGTTATGATTAAATTTAATTATAAGAAAAAGATGAAATTATAAGGTAGGAAAATTGATTTACAATTTTTCTTTGCATACAAATCAAAAAAAATAAATATAACATAATATCAAAATTTTTTTTATGAAAGGCTATAAAATATCTCAATCCATTTTATTATTTTTATATAAAATATTTTGAAGCAGTTATTTTACATAAAACTTGTACTCAAAAATAAATAAGTTTGAGTAATTTTTAACATATAGAAAATATTTATCACTAATTAAAAATTGTTAGTTAAAAATAAGAATTTTTTTTAAATTCTCATTTAAAACTTATCATTAAGGAATCAAAACAACACCAGAAACTTTTAGACTAATAATTTAAAGTTACTAAAATTAATAAAACAATTAAAATCACAATATAAAATACTAATATTTAGAACCATTAATTATATTCATTCATATAAATTTGTTTGAGACATTTCTAAGACAATCAACTTCAATTAAAATTACTTTAGGGTAGTATAAAAATATATTTTGAATGGGAGTGCATCTTTCAAGCCCATATAATTATAATCAGTAGTGTTTTTGTAAAATAACTGTAGAGTGTATACAATAATTACAGGAATACACAATTTCATTAAATGGTTAATAAGTATGAGGTATAAATTTCCTGCATAACTATCAAAACAACACTGATCATACTCCTAATAAGTGGCAAAATTTCACTCATTAAACCGGAAGACACTTTCAAAAATGTTGAAATAATTTTCTGGACCCCTTTCTATATTATTTAAATTCAGGACATTTTTATTTTTATTTATGTATTAAAGATATTGTGTTTTTAATATTATAACACACCACATAAAAAAGATAACGAATTTGTGATTTTTATACAGTACCTTGAGATATCACGCTGTAAGTATTGTAGTTTAGTAACTTAAAATATACCATACTAATGCATAAAATGAATTTATCATTTTCTGTTATTGATAAACAATTATATTTAGTAATATACATTTTGTCAATTTTGTAGAAATGACATAATAAGTTATTACATTATAAAGGAATTCTGTATTTTTACAATAAAAAAACATGTATAAACAAGTTGACAAATTTTGAGTTACTACAATAGAATACTTACAGTAGGATATGCCTTATTGAAAGAGATAACCCCCATTTCTTTCAAATTCCTTAGATTACACCTTGAATAATAAGACAAATTCTCATACTAAGCACTACCAACTATGATCTATAATTAGTCTGTGGGTATTTTAAGAAATAAAAAGAGTATAATGCTAAAGTGTTTTTAGGATATTGTCTTAAGAGAGAAGGGCATGAACAAAAAATATTTTTACTACCAAAATTCTAATTAAATCCTCCAGAATAATTCTTCATGAAATGTTTATTTTTGTCAAGGAGAGGTTATATCCTCCAAATTTCTCATAATAATATTTATATTACAGTAGTATTTTAAATGTATTACATGAAATTCAAATTTTTAAATTAATTAATTTTTTAAGTATAATAAAAGTTAACCAATAGAATTTTGATAGTCTCTTATAATACTTTGCAATTGCCCTAGTTAAAATACATTAATTTTAAGTAACATAATTATGAATGTGTACTTAATGTTAATGTATTTAGAATGACAAAAACAAAAATTATAATTGCATATAAACCTGGATTCTACTAATAATTATAATCAATAATAATACATATATATGTGTCACTTACCATTTAAGACATATTATTTAATGTAATACTAGATTAAATAAGAAAATAATTCAAATATTATAACATCAATCACTTTAATACAAAATAACTTCAATAATTTTTTTTTGAATATGCATAAACAATATCAAATTACAAATATATTTTTCTTCAGTAAATTGTAAGCACCACAAATACTGAAGCTTTTTTACCTACAGACCATTTACATTCCTGTTATTCCTCCAACCTAAATTTAAAAACTAAAAAAAAGTACTAATTCAAAAAAAAATTTCTATAAAATTTTATAATATTTTTAAAAATTTTAGTTAATATAATTTTATGATGGGGAAAAGAAAATAAAACTTTCTAAAATGAAAAATATGTTTTCTCTTGTAACTTTGAAAATATTTCTTAAAAAATAATTAAAAAATTTAAGGATACAAGTTATTTTTTCTGATAAGTAGTTAATTATTTTAATATTGTTTTTATAGTTTAGTTCAGAAGTCTATTAGATGTAGTATCAAGTAATGAAATCAGTTTTTATTTTGCTAATAATTAAATTTTTTTTTTCTTTTTAATTATTATAAGAATTTACAACTTTGTTTTTATTTTCTTGAAATTATTTAAACATGGACTATCATTTTTGTTCCATGTATCCCTCAATCGTTGAGTACATCAGATACTAAATTTAAAGCTAAAATAGACTATTATAATTTATTAAAGTAATATTAACATATATATTAAAATTCCTATATTTGAGAAATAAATCACTATATGACACATAATGGTAATTTTAAATGGTGAACTCAAGAAGATATATATCTATTTATATAGCTTCTATAATTTTTAAATTGTATAACTGTTAATTTATTATACAACTCTAAAGAAATTATAATCATGGAAACAATTATCAATATTTTTTAAATTAATAAACATGTTTATAATTATTTAACATTTATATAAATCTGAAAATTAAAAATTGATTTTAAGTTAACAGTATATTTATTTATTAATAATACTCATCAAGTTATAATGTTTAATCAGAACCAATATTAATACATACATAAAGTAATGTCGAGTTGGAATAATAAATGAATACCCAATATAAATGAAAAAAAGGTACTTAAAATATGCACTAGAAAAAATATAGCTTACCAATTAATGCTTCTAAGCTTGTTGATATTATATTAATATCAATGTCCATCCTACCAATTCTACTTTGATCTTACATTCTGGATTCATATATTGAAAAATAATTTGAAAATGTGTAATCACAATCCACAGACAATATATTATATCCCCTAATTTTTAACTCGGAACATTTACTGATTATAATTATAATCACAACTAGTTATATAGTTGTTTTAAGTTTCATAGAATTTATGAAAAAGTTATCTATACATAGTCTGTTGCCATTCGCTCTGATTTATACAAATATCAGTTTAATTCTGCTAATACAACAGATAAGATAAAACTAGATAGTGAATTTTCTATTCAAGACGTGTAATTATCAAAAATGTAAGCAAACCAAAACCAGCTTTAGATCAGTATTACCACTCATAGGAAAAAAAAGTCTTTATGAGGAATTATTTTTTAACTATATTTATCACAGATATATAATAAAACTATATATATTCTATGATTTATCTTATCTGTGTTAATATATTATTGGCTATTTATTTATTTTCAAGCGACTGATTTGTATTGATAACAATTTTTATCTAATGTTACGTGGTAAGAATAGAGCACAAACTTTATCATTTTTTAAAATTTTTCATGAATATAATAAGAATTCATTTATTCATTTTATTAGTTAAAATTTTTTAGAAAATATAAATAAAAATTATACAGAGTGATCAATTTAAATGTATAATAAATTATAGAGATGTTAACTATATTCTTTTAAGTAGAAATACGTACTGAACTAAATTATAAAATAGGAATTTATCCAACTAAGAAAATTTTGGGTCAGCTAACAACTTTTAAATCAGTAATTCAGAAGTTATAACAATTTTAAAATATGGACTGAGAGAGAGGCCCGTGTATAACTACTTCTATCATTAAATATTACTCCTAGACATAAAAATATGACCATTATTAAAGGGATTTCACAATATGATGTCAAGTTATGCAGTCCCTACAAAATTCAAAAATCTAAAATAATAGCTCTCATAACTAGGAAAAATAAAAATAGAAATAATTTGATACATAATAATGGATCCTATAAGAACAATCCTAACTATAAATTAATAAGAATTACAATACAGTATTCAGTTATTATCATAGACAAAAAAATAATAATTTTTGTTTGTTTTAAGAGAAAAAATGAGATACTTGAATTACAAAAATTAATTTAGTGGTTTTTAATCAATTTTTTTAGGCACCTAGAACATCTAAGTAAAAATGGGTGATAATTAACAATTTTTCATTAAAAATGAATTCTTTTAGTTTATTAGATTAATTCAATATATTCTGAAAATTTTATGCAGATATATACAAATAAAAAATTTGAAATATGTAAAAATATGCAACAGATGTTAATCATTGATTTATAAATGACAAATTTAATCAGAATAACATTTTAAGAATTAAGTATCATAAAATAAATAATTTTTATAATTTTATTGTAAAGTTTAAAAAAAGTTACATCAATTCTCTTATAAATTATATATTGCATAAATAAAATTAAACTAAAAAGACATTAGATAAATAAATTAACACAGTAACTTTGAAAGTTGGAAACAAATAAAGAAAACACGCAAATACACTCACACAAATTTGTTCACAAAAAAAAAATGTCTGCGTTCTTGCATAATATGAATTTATATGAGAGTTAATAGGTTTAAAAATAATACCTAACTTATAAGCTAATAAACTTATAAATACTTAAGTTAAAAAAAAATACATAATAACAATAAAATTGGTAAAGGGTTGAACTGACAAACTTGTAAAGATAATATTAATGGTTAAAAAATGCCATATGAACTCAATAATTCTAATTTACCATCAAGTATTTAAAAACAAATAAGGTGAGCCAGTTCAAAAAGAAGAAAGTGATGATAAAATTTAATATGCAAAGGCAACTCTAATTATGCATAATGTATTACTTAAATATAAAATATTCAATTAAATAAATTCAATTTATGAGTATAAATTAGTAATTACATAATCGACCTTAAATTAATATACACAAGTTTTAATTTTTAGTGATTATTAAGTGAATTAAATAATCAGATCTTTATACAATACATTTTTTATTTACAAGGTTTTTTTCAAAATTAACCTTCAGTATTAACCGATTCCCTAGCATGATGTGTACGGACATGCTTATTGTGATTAGATTTTGAGCTGGTTGTTTTTCCACAAATATGACAAGTATGAGGCTTTTGCCCTGTATGTGTTTTCATATGATCAGAGAGGTAATAACTTCGATGGAATCTAAATAAAAAAAAATATGATAATACACATAATATTAAAACAAACTAATAATTAAATACTTTTTTCCACATTCAGGACACTCAAACGATCGATTCCCTTCTTCATGTTCAGCCATATGTCGGATGCAATGTTTTTTTCTAATAAATTGTTTACCACACTCATTACAAGTAAATGGACGAACGCCATTATGTGCTCGAACATGAGCATCCCACTCATGTTTTAAATAAAATGCACTCTTACATTGTGTACATTTAAATGGTTTATGTGATCTTGACATATGAGTCCATTGATGCATCCTTAAATTCCATTTAGTTCGAAATGCATGATTGCATATATTACACGAAAAAGGTCTTAGATCTTTATGAATAAGCATATGAGTGGCAAATGATTTTCTTAAAAATGTGTTATTACATATTTGACAGCACATATTTTCTGTATCTCGATCCTTGGTTGGCAAATATCCAGGATCATGTGATCTCCGTATGTGTCTAGTCAAAGAAGTAATATGTATAAATCGTTCAGAGCACCAAAGGCACTGTTTAGGTTTTACTTCATGTGTTTCTTTATGCCAAGTCAATTTTTTTAATGATGAAAACACCTACAAAGTATAATTCAGTTATCTATTAATTTGAAGGTATGGAATTTTTAAGTACAATATATTTAAATATAATTACCTCTCCACAGTGGCAGTAAAAATCTTTTTGACTTCCAGAGGGTTCATGTAATTTTCGTATATGGCTGTTAAGATTAGCTCTGCACCTAAAGGAATGTTCACAGCGATCACAATTATATGGTTTAATATTGAGATGCCCGTTTACATGATCTTGAAGTTGAATACGACTAACAAATGATTTATTGCAGTGATCACAGTTATATGGTCTAATTTGAAGATGGCGTTTGAGATGAGCTGTTAAAGAAAATTGGGAATGAAATTGTCTTGAACAGAAGCTACAAACCAGTGGATGAACTTTTAATATATGATCTCGAAATTCTGTGATCATAGGAAAAACTGTATCACATGTAGGACATAAGTTATTCTTATCTGAAAAACAATTTAATTAAAAATATAATTTATTTCAAAATGTAAAACTAATAAATAAATTGTCAGTTAATTTATGCTATAATTATGTTATCACAGTACTTTAAATTTATAAATTTCAATGTCAATAACTATGTTGATTACCTCACAATACTTGTTTATAAAAATAATGGAATATTTTATAGAAATAGTATATAATATTTCACAAAACGCAAAATACAATTATCCTTAATTAGAAATGTTTTTATATAACAATAAATATATTTTTAATTAATTTAAAGTGATTAACACCAAAAAGTTATCCTTTCAGGTTTTATACAAAGTGTGGACAAAAAGTTTTGGTAATTATTTTTTTTATCCTAGTTTATAATGGCAAAGATGTCCAAAATTATAAGCAGACATAACCAACAGTCAGCAATCATTAGAGTATATAATTTATTGGAGTGGAGATGAAAGCATTTCTATGCAAGTTTTGATATAAGATTGTGTGGTTATGTCTTAAATAATACTATGTATATAATTAATTCATGTTACCTTTATGAGTATCTATAAAATGCAATGTCATTTTAATATAATCCTCAAATGCTTGACCACATATACCACATTCAACTTTTAAATTTTCAATATCATTACTAACTATCTCGTTTTCAACTTTAGTTAGTGGTTTAATATACATCAAACCTTTTTTAACTCCTTCTTCATTTTTGTGTTCCTCATCTATGTGTGCTTTTCGGTCCTTAACACCATTAAATTTTAATTTACAATAAGGGCAAGTTAACTTTCCTAATAAAGGCTTAAATTCTTTTTTTTCTAAAATCTCATCTTTGGGTAATTCTTCCCTATTTTTCAAACTCATTAAATTTCTAGCTGCTGTACTGACTTCATGAACTGTATCATCCCATGCTGAACTGGTATGAGGCTGAGATTCATCATTATTTTTCATAGTCCATATAGATGCTAGAATAGGCTCTGGAGGTTCTAAACTTTCTTGTCCTGATAACTCACCATGAGCAGGCATAAGTTCATCAGTTTGAATATCTAAAGTTAATTGATTTTCTTGATTATTTGATGATATATATTCTGTATGTAATTCCATAGTAGTAAGTGTACTGTATTGAGGTGGATTCAACTGTGGATCAGGATCAGTATGTGAAATACGTGCATTTTCACTTGAATAAAAATAACGAGACATATATTCTTCATCTTCAATAACATTCACATTTGTTTGAAATGGATCAGTATTAAAATTTTCAGTAATAGATGATCTAGTAGTTTCTTCTAGTTCTTCAGGATTTTGAGTAGACTCAATAGAACCACCTTGAAAGCTTGTACTACAATCTTGCTGATCTTCATATTCAGGTGAATAGTGATTTTCAAAAACGCCATTATTTTCTTCAATACTAACATCATCGAGATTGTTATCAAAAACGTCTCTTAGTTCAGAAAAAACTTGACCATTTGAATTTTTAGGAGATAAACAAACAGGACCTATTCTATCATCATTCGCTCTATCCTGAATATTATTAGTTCCTGAATGGCATGACGAAGTAGAGCTACTTTCATCTGAGAGAGTTTCTTCATTTTGATCAACAACCTTAGAAATACTAGTATTTTGGTTGGTTAATGAAAGAAGAGCTTTTATAACGTGTTTTTTTGGATGAGTGTTTAAATGAGCTGGAAGAGATATGCCAGGGCGCAAGTATAGTGTACAAACTGGACAACATGATTGTGATTCTTGATTCATAGCTTGACAATTAAAATATTCAGTCTGTAATAAAATATTTAAAAATATTTAAGTTACATTTTAGTATGGAAAATATAAATTTTCATCTCATAATTGTTATTTAACTGAAATTTAATTGATAAAATTTAAGGTTAATTTTCAATTGTAAGGTATCACTTCTAGAAGTTGACATTTTTTTAAAAGATGATATTTTCAGTTTACATAATGAGTAATATCAACATTATTGTTAGTTTTAAAATCTAGTAATTATATTACAACAAAATTATACGTCAATAACTATTATTGTTTCAAAATTTAAAGTAATTAGTTTTAAGTTTAAACTAACTTTTTATAGTTCAATACCAAGTAATTTATAAATTTTTAATTACTTTATAATAAAAATGTATCAATTGAAAAATATTTAAAATAAATAATGTTAAAAAAAATAGCATAAACTTATAATATATGGTTGATAGTTTCAAATAATAAAAAAATTTAAATACTAATAAAAATAGTTCAACAAAAAATTATGTAATTCTTCATTAAAATTTAGATGAAGATATGATTAAATAATTAATAAACTAAAACAAATTTTATATATTATTTCAATTTTTTTAATAATTAAAACTACTATTTAAAAACTAGTAGTATAGAAAAACATATTTAGGTCTTTATATTGTTATACAGTTAAGCAATCATTGCTTAATCATTTTGTCAAATTCATATAGAAGGTTGGTGTATTGCCTATAGATTTCAATTACATACCTAATTAAAATATTACTAAATCTATATATATATACATATATACTTATATAAGTGAAAAAATTTGCATTGTGGCTTAAACTTAAAATAACTTGAGAGTTTAATTGATAAATAATAGTTGATCTTGACGGATGTAGTCTTATTGGGTCATTCAACAGTGATTTCATTACCTTTATAAAAGAATAGGAAATTACTACTCGGACAAAAGGATACTGCCACTGTAACTTAATTCACTATTATAAACATTATGATGCTTGAAAAAACAATTTACTTAAAAATTTAACTTAACAACTAAATGTGATTAACATAAAATAATAAATATTTCATTATTATTATATTATTTTTACAAAATTTACATGATGGAGAAAAGAAATATCAATAGTAAGCAGTGCTGCCACATTTCCAAGGCCAAAGTATACAAACATAATGCAGACTTGCCAAACTGTATACTCATTTTTATTTTATGTATAATATAAGCTCCTCGACTATTCAATTACTCCATATAATTTTAATGTCAAGAAAGACGATTACTCCTTTTTAAACTACTTATTTTTATAAAAAATTGTGTTTAAACAAGGAACATCCCAAAAACAAGGACCGTAAGAAAAAAGAAGGGGTAAAGTAGGCCAATGCTACAGGGCGTAAAAAAAACATATTTAAAATTATTGTACTTAGTAATTTTCAACATAATAATTCAAATCGGAAGTGTTACGTATCTTTAAAGTAATCTAAGAAAATACAAAATATAACAAACATAATTGAGATTTAGCATAGTGAACTCCAGTATAGGTATAAATCTAACAATGACTATCTTCACTATCATAAAAGCTTTGATGCAATGTTTTTTTTTTCAATTTTCTCCAGTGGGGCATTTGAAAAAATCGTCAGGTCATTTATATTATATCAAACAACCTCATTTTTATTAATAATTACCTTTGTCTGTTATTATGTTTATGAAAAATATATTGATTACATATTACATATTTAATTAACAGACCCGTATGAAGACCTATATGGTCCCCGGGCGATACTCTGAGATGGACTCTTATAGAAAAGTAATGAGTATAAAAATAGAATAAATGTATATCACTATTATGACAAACTAGTAAAATTTGTTAATATGTATTATACAATTTAATATTTCTTAACTATTATTAAAATATTAGCTTCAATGTGAAGCTGAGAAGATATTAATTTTTCTAAGATATGTTTTTTTAATTTTTTTTTTTTCTTTGTTACCACTTTTTCACAGCTCTCAACGAACCGATTTCTTTCAACGATAAGTCAAAAGATCATAAATCGTATCTAATCGAAGGTATTACCCTCAAAAAATGAAAAATTTCCCTCGATTCCAGTAAATCTCCAAAAAAATTACAAATTTAAAAATCTGTAAATTTTTTTACTTTTTCTTTACTTAAAACTGCCATAACATTTTGAAAAATAGATGAATAGAAACAATATATATACTATATATATACTTCTTTTATTGACATACTTTTTTTTTTAAATTGGACCATTTCCCTTTATATAGAGGGTTTTCAAAACTTAAAAATACGTATAGAAACTAGACCTTTTACAATTTAATTTTTGAAAATATTCTGAAAATACTGACATTTTTATAGATATCTTCAATTAAATCTTATAAAATGTACTTTACTATGACCAAAAAAAATTTTTCTTTGTACTTGTCTTCATGGTGAAAATGGCTATCACATATAAAATATTTATATTTTTGTGTTATAATTCTCGGTTTTGTATTTTATTTTATTTTAAAATACCTTAAAAGGTTTTTGACAGACAATTAATATCATTCATTTCTAATATTTTTAAAGTATTTTTTGTCGAATTAGGTTTGATATGATAATTAGGTTTCAACTGCAAAATTATATAATTTTTTCTGTAACTTATTAATTTTTTAACTCTATTTTGTGTGTTACTACCAGTCTATAATATTTCAAATTTTTTGGTAACATGTTGCTATATAAATCATTTCTTAAAAAAATGATTTTTTGTTTCACCTGAATTTAACAATGAATTTTTACAATTATAATAAAATGTTATAATATGCTCATCAATTGAGTAGATTTTAGCNAAATTAAACACTATCTAAAGATTTGCATCGAAGCGTTTTTTTTTGATAGTGATTTTAATCACTGTCAGATATCATTATACTTGATCCAACTATACCACGTCACAACTGTGCCGCGACCCCCCTGTGCTGGGTTGTTTTTTTTAACTTAATAATGCTCTAACTTTTTTTTCTTAAAACTTCCATAACTTTTTCAAAAATCAACAAATCAACATAATTTTTTTTTAAACTAAAACCTTAGATATTTTCCTTTCATTTGATATAATTTTTTTGAAAATTTAACACTTAACCTGCTCATGGGGGGGGATTTAAAATTGCAACTTTTTTACAAAAACTAACTTTTTCAACTTAATTTTTGAAAATGTTCCGGAAATACTGCGTCCTTTAAACATATATCAAATTAAAGCTTATTTTATGTACTATAAAATGAAAAAAAAAATTTGTCCCGACGACCTATCTTCTATGCGCAAATGGCTACCGTATTCAAAAATATGCTATTTTTCTATTAAAATTCTAGGTTTTGTATTTTATTTTATTTTAAAATATCTTATTAGGAGAATATATTGACTTTCATGAATATTATATAATTTAATTGACATAGAATAAAGTTCATAAGGCATAAGAAATTAAACTTATTAAATTTTTTTACTTTTTTAAAGTCGAAAAAGTAATTTTTAAATTTGAGTTAAGCTAACTTTTTTAGCTTCGATGCGAATTTTTTATATGTAAATACTAATTTTTAATAATATTAAAACTTAGAAGTGATAGAAAAAGTCTAATTGCAGATTTGAAAACATCACGAAAAGTTGATTTAAAGTGGTATATTTTTGTTACTGATGAAAGCGCCTTGTAGTTCAATGCATTTATTTATAATAACAAACAGTTTTTATTGAAATTTATTGTATCAAGCCCTTTAAATTTTTATACACGTAAAAATAAAGCAAAATACAACTTCTTTATTATTTTTATAATTTCTCCGTTTAAATTACAATATTAAATTATTGAATATCAATTTTATACTAAATTTAATAATTATAATTAGTATTTATTCATATATTATATTTTAAAATCAAAGAACTACTAATTANGTTAAAGTAAATCATTAAAATTAATTCAGTTCTGCATATTTCAATTGTAGAATCTTTTTAAACACCAAAAGTTACTAAGAAATAATTACTATTATTTCAATTTAAGTTATCTATTACGATAAAAATGCAAAAAAAATATTAATCTTTTCTGATAAATTTACAGTAAAGAATAATTATAAAATTTTCCAATTGATGATGTAAATTTCAAACTAGCAAGATGAGCTAAAAGACATGTTAACAAATTCAACTTTATTTTGTTATAAACTTTCACAAGGATTAACTTTAAGGACCAAAAATATAAGTTAAACAAGTTATTTTGCACTGATTATTTTTAATATATTATAAATTAGAATCATTAATATTTTTTTTTCTTATATTAGGATACTTATCTTTTAATAATTAATAATAATATCAAAACTTAGAAGTAATAGAAAATGTCTAATTTTAGATTTATAGATTCAGATAGTATTTTTAATTGCTATAATAAATATTTATTCATAAATTATACTTTTAAATCTAAAAACTACTAATCAGGATATAATTGAGACAATAGGAGTTGATGTTGATTTTATAAAAATTAGCATCGAAGCGTTTCTTATGACAGCGACTTTAATCACTGTCAAATATTATTTATACTTGTCCCAACTATCCCATATCCATAATGTGCCGCGACATCACTATGCTAACTTCTTTTTTTTAATATTATGGATAACTTAAATATTTTAAGTATTAGTGGATTTGGTTGAAAATAATGATGAAGATAGTTTTTTAAAATATATTTAAGATATCTTTATTTGAAAGATATTTAAAGGCTGTCTTGGAACAAAGAATATGAGGAAAATTGAAAATTTTAAATAATATAAATTTGAAAATTATTTTTACTGATTAAATAATTTTTATTTAATTGTGGGATATTTTAATTTTTTTGAAGCATTGAACGTTTGGCTTCGAGTAGATGATAAAATATGGTGCCACTTATGCCCCGAATTGTTAGGTATGCTAACAAAAAATGTTAGTATTGTCAAAAATACTTATTAAACCACACCGTGATACTTTTAACGCAAACCACTCAAATCTCTGAAAATAATAATTTTTAGATTTTTGGTTTTTGTGAGTAACATGTGTAACTTCATTGATCTATTATAAAACATTTTTTATTTTTTCTTAATTTTTTTTATTAATCCCTTATGTTAACTTTTTATGTGTTAATGTCAACATGCATAATTAACAAGTTTAATTATTAGATGATGATTTAGTTGAAACGATTTAGAAATTATTTAGAAAACGACAACTCTTTAACCAGTATTTCAGAAGAGAAACATTGTAACTTTTTAAGGATAATGAGCCAGATTTACAATCAGGTATGCATAGCCTTCTACTACCCCTGTAGCAATATTCAGTTATTAAGTTATAAACATTTTTTATAAATGTAGCAGAAATTCTTTACAATACTTTAACAGTAGTGTACAGAATAACGTCTCTACATGTTTCAAAAAGTTGTGAACTTTTTTTTATATGTAAAAATAGCACAATACAATGAAAATAGCAATTTACAACCCTGAAAATTACTTTTTTGTAATACATGTTTATAGGAAAAATTTTACATCAAAAAGTTAAATTTTACAATAATTAACAATAATACACTTCATTTATTAAATATAATATTTTTGAGTAAAATATTTTCAACAATCATCAATATTATACCAGTAATTTAATTTTTAAATAATGTATATTGACAGATTCCTAGAGTTGAAATAAATAGAAAAAGCTAACATTTTCAAAACAAATTGTTATTCTAAATTTAAACATTATTAAATGTATTTTTATGTTTTACTAGTGAATACAAAAAAAAATTAAAATTTATGTAATACGAATCAGAAAATAAAATAATTTGCTCGTTATGTCATGATAAAAAAAAATGTTTAGTTAATGTATATAAAACAATTAGTAATGAAATATTACAAATGATCTAACTATTTTTTAAATATGATAGCAAATGATAATGCAAGCAAAGCTAAACAAAATCATGGTTATTAAGCTGATTTTTTAATATTGAAAATAAATACCAGAATAACACTTTAACCAATGATTAGGAACTAAGAGAACAAAAGTGGGCTATATTATATCATATATTTTTGAATCTAATGATGGTTTCAAAAAACTTATATAAAAATTAATAAATTAATTAAAATTATAAAATACTATACAAATTTATATTTTACTTAATAAAATATAATAACTAAGGAAATCTGTTAATTTTTTTAAGGACTATTCTTAAAATCTTTATTTACAATGCTGAAATTAAACTTAGATACATATGTCAATTTATATTTTCCCACTTATTCATTTAGAAATCCAGTTTTCTATAAATTTTCTTATAAAATTTAATATTTATATAATTTAATTTTCCAATTCAAAAATTTTCCATCTAGTAAAAGCATATATTTTTAATCATTGGCTCTATTAATAATAGTTGCATCTTGACGATCTTCTTGTGACAATTCTTTATCTTCCCACCCCCAAATACCAATGTGGCTACCATCACCTGTTCTATCTACTCTTTTGCGAATCATATCCATAGATACTGTTTTTAGATCATATGCCCAACCAATTTTAGAGAAGAAGTCAATAAATGCTGTCGTTAAGTTAGCTCGATAATTGCCTAATTCTGCTGCTTTATAATCCCATGGGAATACGTGATGATAATTATGCCAGCCTTCTCCAAGAGCACCAATTGCTACACTGATATTTTCAGATGGATTAATAAATCTGAAATTAAAAAAGAAAAATGTAGATATATCTTGTAAAATTAAAAACAAAGTAGTTTACAGTCTTTTCTAGATATAAAAAGTCAATTTAGTCAATTTTGTAAAACAAATAATAAAAAAATATGTTAATTGATTGAATAAAAAAGGGTCAATAAAAAATGTTGGTTTGTTTTAATGTTCAAAAATTCCAAGACTGTGCCCAAATTACAAAAAATATGTCAAGTATTTTTTTTTTAGTAATTTTAGTTTTGTTCTAAGAAATTTTTTTATTTTCCTGTATGATGCAATATATGAAATAGTATTACTAGGAGTACTTGCATATTTAGAAATATTTTTGAAGTCAAGAGTTATCAACAGTCTATTGCCATTATTTACAAAAGCTAAATTTTGATTAATAAAACCTTTAAAAGAACTCCTTACAACTAGGACTTCAAAAAGAAATACTTATGAAGTCTTCAAAAAAAAAAAAAAAAAAAAAAAAAAAAAAATATATGTGATAATTTAGTAGCTATAAATTCAATTAAAAAATATATTAATTCTAGGAACCTTTTTGACGAATGTTTTAAATTATATTTTACATGGTTTAATTGAAAAAAAAAAAAAAAATTTAGGTAATAAGTAGAGTTATATTATGCATTTTTAAAAATATTAACCTATAATAACACTCACTTGTCATAAGGTCGGTCACCCCACATATGAGCAGCACTATTTACAAGCCATGTCATATTTAAGGTAAATGTATATCGGAACATAGTTGCAACAAACCAAGCATTACCCCAAGTTTCTCCCCAACAATATACAGGTATACAGGTGGGTATGACAAAACATAAAATTGGCATCAACAACATATAGTACCTAAAACAAAAAAAATTATTCATAAAAATACAACAAAACCTTCTTAATATGCTCTTAAAAGGGAAATTATATTAAACGGGATCCATCTTAATACACTTTTAAAATGTTAAAAAGTATTCAAAACAAAAATAATTAAGAAAAACTAGTGAGAGTTTGAGATACAAATTCATTTTATAAATTAATCTTTCTTTTTCCCTGTGGATAGAGGATAAAAATACTTCCACGGCCCCTCTGCCAGTCGTACGAGGCGACTAATGAGGTTGCTTCAGTTTGACAGCTGGTGTAAAATTTTTGTCAAATAGTATGAGGTATCCTGAACAAAACTTAGGTAAATTGTCCCATCTCAGATGTGCGCGGGGACAACAGGTGAGAGGGGATAAAGTAGTTAAAAACGGAAAAGGCCTAAGAAATAAAGTGTTTGATACCAGCCGGACAACTTGTGCAGTAGTTATTTCACCAGTCATGTGTACAAGTCTACTCAACGCTTGTAGTGTAAACAGTGTATGGACATAACCATTTAACTCTAGATGGTTTGGTCATGCTATGAGGAGATAAGAATCGGAAGCTGTAAGAACACTTATAGAAATGAATGTTGAAGGAAGAAGAGGTAGAGGAAGGCCAAAAAAAGAGATGAAGGGATGCTATTGAATGGTCGATATGAGGACAGCTGATGTGAGCGTACATGATGTGGGAGATCGTATCAAGTGGAAGTTTAGGATAAGGGTGGCCGATCCCAAGTAGTTGGGATTAAGACGAGGAAGAAAAAGAAGATGATCAAATTAATCTTTCTTAGTTGTAACATAATGACCAAAAAAGATATGTTAAAATTATGTATGTATATCTGTTCAATGATATATTAGATGGGACTATTCTTATGTTAAAAGATTTAAGGAGTTGGGAAAAGAGGATATATTATGCGGGAGCTTATTATGCATGATTTTTTTAAAGCTTTAAGATAATAAGTACAAGGGACCATATATAAAAAAAAACTTAAGTATAAATTAATTCACAGAAATTCAACATGATATTGTATATCAGCAAAAATAAATTTATGTCCATTTTATATTTTTTCTCTTACACTAATTCTGTATACATTGATGCAAATAGTCTAAAAACAACTTACTTTTTTTGAAAAGCAACAATAGGGTCACGTTCTAAATCACTCATGTCAATACCTCGCCCTTTTTCTCTGATGTCAGGATGTTTACGACATAGTAACCATCCTACATGAGAAAAGAAAAATCCACGTTTAGCATTATGCGGATCAGCATTTGTTTCACTATATTTGTGGTGCATTCGATGATCACGTGACCATTCGTATATATGATTCTGAAAATAATAAAGATTATTTATTAATATGTTTTGAAAGACTACAGTTCACAAATTAAATCTGTATTTTTGGAGATTAACTATCAGAAAATTCATTTTATTATTAAAATGTTTATCCTTTATTTTAAAAAAGAATTCTAAGGTATAGAATTTCAACATGAAAAAAATAAAAAGTAATTAAAGAAACTTCTTTATGAACCAATGGCTTTTTAAATAAAATTTGTTTCATTACCTCAAAAGCTATTGTGTTGAATATCATGAGAATGACACGTAAAGGAAATTTTGCTTTATATGAACGATGAGCCCATAATCTATGTGCTCCAGCAGTAATTCCCAGACCAGACATTTGATATAATAATATAGCTGAAAAATTAATACAGTTTATTTAAAATAAGGATTAACTAATTAACATTTAGTTAATTGAATTTTTTTTTATATATATTAAAACACGATTATGGAACAATGATACCATTAAAAAAAAATATTGATATTTTTAGAAGAAAATAATGTTTTAATGAAATTTTTTTTAATGACAAATCATGAATCAAAATATCTAAATTTTACTATTCATTAATATCAAAAAATCATTATACTTAAATATGTCAATTATGAGTAAGATATGACAGCATAGATTATATATTTCAATAACTTATTTCTTGTATCTAACATTTCAAAATCATTCAAATCTTTATGTTTAATTAAAGGAATAAAATTTATTCAAACACAAGTTGATAATATTTCATTTAGGTCATTGTTGATAGTTACGGCTAAATATTTATTTAAAAAAAAAAGATAAAAAAAAAAAAAATTACTGAAAAGCAATTCTTACCCCATATTGAAGTTGATATTTTAGCAGAAGCAAACATTAAATAAGCTCCATATAGAGCAGCTATGTGGAGGTATACAAATAAGGCAACATTACGCCATACTATTTTTAGTTGATATCTAATTGGTTTGTATTTATCATTTTCAACACTTTCACCTTCTGCTATCTGGTTATTATCATCAACAACATTTGGTTCAGCTGGATCTTCATTAAAAAGTACACCAGGCGCACCAACTGGGCGCTTGGTCATATTGGGAGCCATTGTTCTGAATTTTTTTTATCAAACTGAAATAGTAGTTAAGTAGTTTAAAATACATCTATTAAATTGCAATTCATTAATAAAACATACAACCCAAAAACCCCAAAAAAATCAAGTATAGAAATTTATTTTTTTTAAAACCCAACACAGGGGGGTGGAGGCACAGTGAAGACGTGATATAGTTGGGTCAAGTATCATGATATCTGACAGTGACTAAAATCACTATCATAAAGCTTTGACGCAAATCTTTAGATAGTGTTTAATTGTAAAAAATTGGTGAATTGTTACAAAAGGTACATGATCTGCTATTTCCTTATTTATATCCTGATTAAGATAAAGTATGTCGATTGAAAGAGGGATATAAGTATTATTTCTCATTAAAATGATCTTATGACTAATTTGTAATTTTTTTGGATATTTCCCCAATTACGGGAATCGAGGGAAATTTTTCATTTTTTGAGGGTAATATCTTCGATTAGATACGATTTGTGATCTTTTGACGTATCGTTGAAAGAAATCGGTTTGGTAAGAGCTAAAAAAGTGGTAGCAGACACACAAAAAAAAAAAAAACACATCATAGTAAAACCAATACCCTCTCAGCTTCGCAACGAAGCTAAAAAATGTATTCCTTTAAAAAGGCAACATCGTGCATCAAAAAAATTGCTCATTAATATTACAATAGAATATTTCCGAGTGACAGTGGGTATTATCATAATTTTAACAATTTTGCCATTAAATACTAAATTTTATATGGAAAAATTAAATACTTAAAACCGTATATTATTGTATAAATAATTACTTTTTATTGAAATCTTGTCTTTAAAACTATGACTGTGCGATGTCATCGGAATAGTATGTGTATTTTACTTTAAACATAGTAATATGTTTTGATTTTAATAATTATAGTTGGAATATTACAATGTTAAAAAAAATGTATGTCTATAATGTTATACAAATATGTTATGGTCTTTGGAAGTTGAACACCTCATAGTTCAATATACTATTTGCGCTTATGGTTATGGGGATGAATTATTTTGATAAATAAAAAATATAGAATTATTTTTTTTACAAAAAGACCACGGTATGATAATTGTTTTATTAATAGACTTATTAATAGCAACATGAAACACAATCCAGAGATAACCGGTACAAATTATACCGGTTTATTAATGAAGTTTAATTAAACTTATGTATTTATATCAAATTGTTGTTAGAAAAATATAGCTAAAAATAAAAAATTGAATAGGCTTACACTTAAGGTAATAATTATCATGAATTCGTTTTAATTTTTTGGTCATAAGTTAACAGAACGTAATAATTTTATTAAAGAGTATTTTTGATCATTGTGGTTAATTATAAGTATTTTATCTACAATTTTTTCAATTACGTAATACAAATATATAACTAACTAAAATACGAAAAATTAACACATTTCTTTTTTTGGTTAATTAATAATAATTAATGATTCAATAATTAATAAGGATTCATAAGCAGTTATTTATAATAATTAAAAATATGATTCATTTTTATTAAGAATATATTATTTTTGCGTATTGAATCATAAATCAATAAAACAAAGTACTAAATGACTTTGCCTTAGTAATATGATTATTAATTAATGAGTTATAATCTTTTTTTTACCTACTGTATAATTTTTGGGGCAAAGTACATCCAATACTATTGTTAAGCAGCAAATTTTACATTCTATATAATTATAAAACCGTGATTTACTAATGAAGAAACGTGTTTCAAAAAATTTTCGTACATTCCAATGCACCTCGTGCAAATAATAACAATCCTAATATTATGCGTGGAATAAGGACTTATTATATGTCATTTGTTTGAATAAATATGACATTCAACAAATTTATGAGTACTATTGAAATTATTTACATTTTGTTATTCATATTATGATGTAATGAAAATGTAATAATCGCAAAAATGACTTATCATTTACACGAATCCTTTCAGAAGTACTTAATTCCACTTAACGTTAATACAAGACGTAAATAATTCAATAATACTTCAAATAATCGAATAAGAAAAAAAATATGTATTCAAATCATACATCAATATTATTTTGAACATTTTACGCATTACTTTAATGAAATGATTCATAGATTTTCTATAAATATGCTAATTATTCCTTAAGAATAATATGTAATGATCAAACTTATAAGAAACTTATGTTTGTTTGTTTGGATTTTTTTATATGCTAATACATATTACTTAAGTGAACATTTACTCAAGTACTAATGATGATTATTTGTAGGGGACACACTTATGTAAAGACATTTGGTAACTGTTAATTAATAGCACTAATACGCAGTTTACCAAATATGAAATGAGTTATCAAATGTATTTTTGAGATTATGAGTTATGGTATTGTAACCGTTAAAATACTCAATACGTAAATTACTGTAATATATATATTTGTGTATGATTTAATACGACTATTTAAAATTGATTTTACTTAATTCAAATTAGTTTTAAAGGAAAAATATTGAAGATACTATTGTAATTAAAATGGAAAAACTAACTTTTTAAAATAAGAATATTAACATAAAAATATTCTTTTTTGAAATTAACTCTAATAGTACCGTCCGTGGTTCATGGTAACAGTAATAATAAAAAAAAAAAAAAAAAACAAGTATTGTAAGTATGATGTGTATACGCTTATTAAAATAATTAAAATAATTATGTTAACTATACAAAAAAAAATCATAGCACTAAATTTATAACACAGTTGATCTTATATGAATGATTGCAAATAAGATATTTTGCTGATTTTTTTCTTTTTTGGTAAAAATGTAAAAAAATTATTGATTATTTTTATGATATACAAAAATATATATTCTTAGTTAGTTAGTAATAATAATTATTCAACTTTGATAATTATAATCGATAATGAATAATTCAAACAAGAATAATTCTACTATGAATTCTTAGCCTTTTTTTATAATTTTATCTAAGATCATTGAGGTCGAACACATTAGAATATTTATCCTGTTCATCAAATTGTCTATCAGGTATAATACTTCATTATAATTACTTATTATAGAATATGAGGCAACAAACAACACTGATTAAATAATTATATATTGCTAAAAAGAACTTTATAAAGACAAAACTAATTCATTTTTATAAAATATTGTACCCTAAAAACGTATTAATATTTCACAAATTATTTTTTTAATTTTGTTTCAAATTAAAAATAATAAAATAAATTGTCAAGAAATACTTCTAGTGAAAGTTTTATTTATTTTTGAAAATATCCTTAGATAATAAGCTAATATACAATTATATATACGTTATAGAACTTAGTTTGTTCGTTATATAATAATATTCAGGAAGATAAGATGAAGAAAAATAATTATTAGTTAATCTGTTTTAACATTGGGGAAGAGGAAACAAAACAGGTCGTCGACTACTTTCTCCTTTAATATTATTAAGCCATGTAATAAGGAAGGTATAACAAATCTGACAAGTTAAAATTCAAGCAATTTATAATTTATGAATGTTTTTAAATGTTTTCAATTATATTGTTCCTTTTCTTTTCATGAAATGCATACGAAGTTTAATAAAATTGTTTAACATATCAAATTTGATAACTCAGAAGTATATAATTTAATTCAAAGTTTAATTTCGAATTTAAAGTTAGGTAAAATTATCAACTTGAATATATTTTTACATAAAAGTTTTTTCAGAATTAAATTTCAATGCAAAAAAGTAGATATTGTTAAATTTTAAGAAATAGGCGGATTAATGCAAAAGCAAAATTAACTTCTATTTCATTCATTATTCCTAATTAGTAATTATATGATTTATAAGTTTAATATATAATAAAATATTTATTATAGCAATTCAATGTAGTATAAATTGATATTTAATTGTATTGTATTGTAATTTTTACGAAGATATCATAACAAAAATTATTAAATAGTTGTTACTTTTATAGCAAACATGTATAAAAAATGAAGGGCTTGATACAAAACTTTTCAGAAGATAATTTGTTGTTAATTGAGAATAAATGGTCTACAAAGAATTTTCATCAAACTTAAAAATATACTTTATTAAATCCATTTTTCGCGATGATTTCAAATCTGCAATTAGATTTTTTTTATTGTCACCTATTTTTGATTTTATTAATAGTTAAAAACGAGTATTACATATAAAAAAATATAGGTTAAAATGATATTCAACAACATAACAGCGGACAAAATGATAGGTGAAACTAGGTAAGGAATATTTTTGAATATCAGTATATTATAGAATACTATAAGAAAAACTATACGGAATAAAGTTCTAAATATTTCAGTTGTAGCATCTATTAAAAAACCGACAGTTAAATAGAAATGATTACTAAGAATTCTATTTAAATAATTTATTACAATATAAATACAAAAAAAAAGTAGTGATTTTAACGAAATTTTGATTATAATGCAAATCTGTAATGTTTAATTTGGACTATTCCAAAAGCAAATTAAATCCTATTTCCTTATTTTATGTCCTGAAGTTTTATGATAAATAAGTAAATAAAATAAATATGAATTAATATTTAATAAATTTAAATTTATAGTACGTAATATAAGCTTTAGTTTGATATATGATAAAACAACGCAGTATTTCCGAACATTTTTAAAAGTTATGTTGAAAAGTTGACTTTTGTAAAAAAAGTTGTTATTTTGAATCCCTCCCTGTGGGTAGGTAAAGTGTCGGAATTAAAAAAAAAATGTTATCATATAAAGGGAAATACCTAAGGTTTTTATATAAAAAGAATTATTTTTATTTGTTAATTTTGAAAACTTATGGCAGTTTTAAGAAAAAAAAGTGAAAAAAATAAAAATTTACCAATTTTAAAAATCGTATTTTTTTGGGAGATTTGCCCCATTTACATGTAACGAGGGAATTTTCTTTCCATTTTTAAGGGCAATGTCTTCAACTAGATTCGATTTATGATCTTTTGACGTATCATTGAAAGAAATCGGTCCGGTGAGAACTGAGAAAAAAATGGCAACAGAGACACACAACATTTTTTTTAAAAAATACATTATAAAATTAATACCTTTTAAGCTTCGCATCGAATTAAAATTATAACACAATAATTTCTCATAAAAAAATTGTATTGATCCATACACTTCTCATTAAGTTATAGCATTAAAGTTGAAAATGTAAAAAATAAAATCTAGAATTTTCACACATAAATAGCATTTGGTAGCCATTTTCATGGTGAAGACCAAACAAAGTCCGAAATTTTTTTTTCCATAATAAAGTACATTACATTAGATTTAATTTAAGGTATATATAAAAGTGTTAGACTTTCCAGAACACTTTCAAAAATTAAATTGAAAATGATCTACTTTCTATATGAATTTTTTAGATTTGAACCCCCCTCCGTATATAGGGAAATGATCTGATTTAAAAAAAAAAGGTATGCCGAATGAAAGATGTATATAAATACTACTTCTCATGAAAAAATTGTATCAATCCATACATTTTTCAACAAGTTATAGCATAATAAAGTTAAAAATGTAAAATACAAAATTGAGAATTTTTAAACAAAAATAGCATTTGGTAGCCATAATATATAAATAATATATATATATATATAAAAGTGTCAGACTTTCAGGAACTCAGGGGTACATTATTATTAAATGCAGGCCCATCCTATATCAATATCATTGCGAGCGTATATAGTGATAGATGGCGCTTTTCGATTACTCATACATATATTGTCTTATAGTATACCTGTTGAAGCTTAGTAACCGAAAAGCGTGATCTATTTTGAAACGTAAAAACAGGAACAGGTCATTTTATAAGTAGAAGGTCTATAAGGTCAATTGTTATATAATACAGTTTATAGAATAATGTATAATAATAATTATCATTTTATACATTATTCTATTATTGGTATCATATATATGTCCCCGTGCAATTAAAGCGATTATAAAATTCGGCCATTATTACAGCTTTCATTGTGATATTTGATTTTCATCTATATAAATGATAATTAATACATAAATTGATATTGCAAACAACCATTATGTATTAAATATCTTGAATGTTTTTAGTTCCACTAATTTTTATATTCATTAATTTATTATGATTAAAACAATGGCTTGTTATATTTTTAATTACATATTTCAAATGTTTTAAATGTACCAATTCTGGATAAAAATAAACAGACCTAAGCTTCTTCACCAGTCATTATAGTAAAATATTGATAACTTCCAAAATACTAGTTCAAAAGTTGTTAATAACCGGTCATTTTCTTAGTTAGATAATTTTCTTATTTTAAGTTAGTCAAACATATTTTTCTATTTAAAAGTTTAAGTCAATACTCTATTAAAGTGAAAAGATAAGGATAGGACTACATATATCTTTCTTTTAATTATACAACTTAGGATACTATTAACTTCTAAAGAGAAAAAATTATAATATGTTTTATACTACAAAAGATATTGTGTGAGGCATAGTAAATCAATCACCTTGTATGCTTCAATATTAACTAAACAGAAAGTTTCCAGAATAATTAATAATTTTAAACTGTTTTTATTATCACACAGTTACTTAGTATGTAAATGGTATTAATTATACAAACCTCAAGGTATCATTTAATTAATAAAAAAATGAGCAAATTATAATACTCGAATATATATTTGATGGGCTTGTATTTTATTTTATTAGTTATTTTTTAACCTTAATAATATATTAAATTTAAGTACATATAACAATGTAAAAATAAAATAAAAATATTGTTAAAGATAAAAAATATATTTATTAATTTTTAGTTTAACATACTTCTTTTAAAATTAACGGGTTAATAAAATGTTATAACTTGCCCAGCTTCGGCAGATTATTAATTTCATTTATTAGCTTAAGAAATTAAGTCACTAACTATTTAAGTGTAAATTCAAGCTAGTGTAAACAAATAATCATACTTTTATAACTATACGTGTTTAATTAAATTAACATAGATAGTAAAAATTGAATCATAAAGTAGTATATAGCATTTATTATATTTATTTATTTAAAATTATGAATATTACATACTTCATAATTAATTTTAGTAGTTAAATGGTTAAGTAAAATAAGGTTTCAGCTTTCTTTTTTAAAAATTTTATAGAAGAGAAATATTTTTTAATACTAGTATAGTCTAACTCTTTAAAATATATCAGTTAATCCTCATCAGAAGAATTCGTATAATAATAAATTATGAATTATAATATGAAATTAACTATCACCTAGTTGTACATACTCAGTATAAAATGAAATGTATAATTTGCATGGTGTATAATATTTTGAATTATTATGACTAATTATCAAACCAAATATTATATAAGTATGAAAATTAATTTCTAATAATCCACTATTAAAAAAAAATAAATAAATACATTTATTTTATTAAATGTTTCTGTGACACATCAATACATCGGTTTATAATAACAACATTTTTCTTACATCAAAAAACAAATAAAAAAATATTGAATTTTATTTCATGTTGTTGTAATATTTGATTCATAAATGTTTAATATTAATATTATTGTGGCAAATACACTATTAATTCTAACTAAAATCAATAATTAGACTGAGAAACATATAATTTTAAAAGAGCGAATCAATGAACTTAATGAACGTAAGATATATGATAATCAATTAATATATATCTTAAATAATGAAAATCTCAAACATATAAAATGTGATAGAAGTTTACTAATGGTAGATGTATGTTAATTACATAAAAAAAATTATTAAATTAGGCTTTCTGTTTAATTTAATAAAAATTTTTGTATAAATACATTTTCATGTAATTTTAATCTAATTGACGTAAATAAATAATTAGAAATTTCATAAAAATTAAAAAAAAGTAACCCAATTAGCAAAAAAAAATTAATTTACCTCTTAATAAATAGCCACAAATCGGTGTATACTTCTGAGTGAAAAATAAACGCTCAGCTATTTATAAAAAAAAGACAACGCACAAACATAAAATTAAGGTCGTACAGATATCAACATCCCAATATCACTAAATTTATAATAATTGCAAGTTGTAGTTCAAATTCACCAAAAATTTTACAATAGTTTTAGTAAATAACGAACTTAAAAAAATTTATTCGTAAGTATCAACGATTATACATATTCAAATATTATTAGTAACTAAACATTTAGCTAGCACCTTGACGCGGACACGAGCCAACTAATTATAATGATGCGGCAATGGTACTTCAACTAAGCTATGAAATAATTTCATAACGGACAGCCCCTTTTGATAAGCCTGATAAGGCATACACGGCACACTAGTTAATTTAATCGGGTTAGCCCTACCAAATACGCAACAAACTGCAAGATGGCTAGGACGTGGCAAATTACGTATCAAGTGATTTTAAAAATTAATCAAACAATGAGCCACGCGTGTACGTAAAACTACGTTTCTCGATAAAAAGCTAAATGAACATAACAAATTAATTATTAATAATAATAATAAATTTAAAATTTTATTAATAAATATGTGATAGAATTCATTAATACCTATTATATTAAGGACGATATGATTAAAACCAGAATTATGATAAAAATAAGCATACACTCCAATAAAAATTTCTATATCAACTGTATCTTGAGCTTGAATATAATCCACAACTCAAACAAAACGGAAATAAAACGATATAAATGTTAAATGTTTCATTTTTGTTAAATTGTCAAATAAGTTAACATTTTTAATAATCTTAAAAGAACCATAAAAAAATTAGCAAAACTGAAACGAAATCTTACATTTAACATAAAAAATAGTCATACATCAATTTAAACTAATAATGCTAAACCCAATTTTTATTTTATTTATGATTTTACTTTTTATTATAATTTTAATTCAAGAGATAAAGTATTGTTTTTTTTTTTTTTTTGTAGCAAAATTCAAGGCCTTCAATTTTTGATGTTAAAAATATTTTATCTTCACAACACATCACAAATTATTGTGATGTGTTCCGTATAATATTCAATAACTGTAGATTTGAATATTAAGCTGATTTTTTTTTACAGAATAAATCAGAAATTTAAAAAGCAATAATTAATTTGAAATATGTCAGTATAATTTCATAATTGGTTAATTACAACCAAAGCTATACCAATAAAGAGGGTACAGAATATGTAAATAAATTTTATGTTACAAGTAATGATAGCAGCATTTAAAGTTCAAAGATAATATTTACAGCATATTTTATGTGATTTTTTTTAAATACTACAGAATTTACCATATATTGATTCAAATAAATATTTTGGAAGGCATTGGAGGAAAAAGGAATGGGCTAGCTCCTAAATATTATTATCAGTATTTTATTTTTTTGAAAATTATTATATGCAATATTATATTAAAACTTAAAATAAGATGGGGGAAATTATTAAAATATATAATTAGCTCCTTTCCAACATTTATATTCATTTTTCACTTATATTGAAGGGTTGGATTATTTTATAATTTTAATGAGATTTTAATTTAAAATAGTTAAATGCTAGGTAAGCCAAAAAAATTGAGCAAAATAAATAAAAACATTTACTTAAGTTTGAGAATTTATGTTCATTTCAGGAAATGTTTCAACTTAATCAGGGAAAAATTTCTGATTGTTAATTAAATATTTTAAGTATTAAATAAGTATATTATCAGTTTATAAACATTTACATTTAGCAAAACTAAGGTTTTAAAAAAATTTTTGTTGAAAATCTTTTATAACATACAAAACATACATATTTTTCTTAAACTTATGCCATCCTAATTATATAATTTATAAAACATTCATAAATATAATATTGACATTTTTTAGCTATAATTAAATAATGATAACTTTTACTTATAATTAAAAATTAATTTTTATTGAAAAAAATTATTATTTTAATTTTAATACATAGTTAGTAATTTGATTTAATTACAATAGAATAACAAATTTCTTAATTTAATTGGTGATTTTAGAAATAAAGAATCATAGTTGATAAAAAAATAAAATCTTATGAGCTTTATATTTTATTTAATTCCTAGTTACTTATTGCAAGTATTAATATTTGCTTTTCTTCATAATTTGTAGACATATCATAGGTCTTAATTTAAAGAACTGTATTTAATATTCTACAAAATTGATATAAGTGACTATTGTAAAATAAAGTTAATTGTAAATATCATAAAAAGTCCACGAAACATTTGAAAATAGTTTTTTTATAGTATTAGTTAAAGAATAACGACATTAAATTAATATATGTTATCTAGTTAATAGGTAAAAATGATTTTATAGATTTACAGTAATAATTTTATTTAAATAATATAAAATCATTATCGAAAATAAGATGCTAAAATAAAATTTGGTTATTCCCCAATTCGACCTAACATATTAATTTTAATATTAAGACTTAATACTAATATTTAAGAAATAAATTAGGAACTTAAAATAATAGTTACTTACCTAAAAGTTCAAAAGTAAGAAAAAACAACTAGTTAAAAAAGTATACTATAATAATAAATTTTAAAAACAAAATAAAATTTTACGAAATTGTGTTACTAGTAATAAAGTAAATCCAATTATTACAATAAATTGTTAACAAAATATATTCGGCGCATTAAAAAAAGTTTCTGAATAATGAAAATGTTTGAGGTTATGACGTCTGTTTATTGATCCTTGAAAAAGACTTTGGATTTTATCACAATTTGAAATAAGTAAGTGTTAAACGGAAATAGGTGTTTAATATCATAAAACTGTTTTAAATTTTAAGGGCATTTAGTTTTACTTTGTGTATCATTACTTCTTACCTTCTCAACGTTAATTGTAATAATTTACACGGAAAATGATTACGTCATTAAATGTCCATGTGCGTATCATCAAGTACTATCGTACCTTGTGACTTAGTACTGCTTATCATTTTAATATAACACTACTTAATTATATACATAATTTTAAAAGAAATTGATAGTATATATCTATACACTTAATAAACCAAACATAAAATATAAAAATAACTAACATAATATTAGAACAAAAAGATAGATCTTTGATTTAAAATACATATCATACATAGAATATATTAAATTTTATTTTCTAACATACAAAATGTTTATTTAATTATATTACTTTGTTAAGTATAAATAATTAAATAATATTCATTCATAATTTATACAATAAATATTAAATCAAACCACATAGAAGTATTCTAGTATAATTACTATATCATATTACCATAAATAATATAATACTCATGGAGTCTATATAATTTTACACTAACATTGTTAATGTTCAAATGTAATTTTTTCGCTACGAATTTCTCTTTCCTATATCCACGCAGAGCTTATATTAGGATATGAATTTTCATTTGCGCATAGCAATATATTTTGTATATTTTATCGAGGAATGTTTGATAAATTATACATAAATTACAACACGGTTTTAAGTATACAAGTTAGTTCATACATTTTCAGGATAGTACAGTAATCTTATTTATCTCGTATTTGATGTACAATTCTACGAGTTTATCATAAATATTAGGATCCATTATGGCATCTATGCTGTACAACATCAAATCACAGTCACGAACATTTTTATTAAAATTGACTTTTATATACTATTAGGAATAATAACCTGCCGAATTCTTTTATAATTATTCTATAATATTAATACAATTATTATAATTAGAATATTATTAATTATTATGTATACCTGGGCGTATTTAAGGGGGATGTGGGCGATTGCCCACCTTGATCCAGCGTTATCAGTATTTTTTTAGACCTACCTCTAAAGATCTTTTTTTATCATTACTTTGATTTTTAGCAAAATAATCGCGATAGCATGTTTATTAAAGCGAAAAAAAATTAATTACCCTCCTAAAATGATTTCTGAACATGCCCTTGGTGAACAAAGTTTAACCTAATACCCAATACATTTTACTATTTACTCTTTTTGAATTTTTTTGAATTAAATAATAAATTTTTAATATATTTTTGTTATACTGATTCTGAAACAATATTTTTCCTGCATATAATACTTATAGTGCACGGCGTAGCTGGATACTCCTACTAGAATCAGTAGCCTACTTATAAGAACGGCCCGAAGAAGCTTAAGCACTTTGGCCGCTTGTAAACTTAATATTTAAATTTTATAGGCCTCTCATACAATATCTAATACTATCTCTTGAACTATATATTTAACAATTAACGCAAATAATATTAGAAATACCTATCAAATTAAGTGTATAAAACTTTTTTTTTAAATACTAGATAAAAAAGAAAATATATTCAGTGCATTAACTGCTAGATTTTAATTTAAAAAAAACGGTAGCACAGTGTGGACGAGGCACAGATGGGACAATTATAGATGATATCTGACAGTGATTAAAATCACTATCATAAGAAACGCTTCGATGCAAATCTGTAGATAGTGTTTCATTTAGAGAAATTGGTGGATTATTCCAAAAGGAACATCAACTCTTATTTCTTTGATTATATCCTGATTAGCAGTTCTTTGATTTTAAAATATAATATATGAATAAATACTAATTATAGTTTTTAAATTCAGTATGAAATTGTGAGCCCAGCTATGATGTATGGTTGTTAGTGTTATATAGTGTTGGGCGGTTGATAAGAAAGTAGAGCAGAGAATAAGTGTAGCAGAGATGAGAATGCTTAGTTGAATGAGTGGAGTGACTAGAGAAGATAGGATAAGGAACGAGCAAATAAGAGGAAGTATAGGTGTTGATGGAGGGATGCTATTGAATGCGATTTGAGGACAGCTGATGTGAGCGTAGAAGATGTGGGAGATCGTGTCAAGTGGAATCTTAGAATAAGGGTGGCCGACCCCAAGTAGTTGGGATTAAGGCAAAGAAAAAGAAAAATAATTTCGGATATTCCGGTGGCAATTGACATAATATGATTGTTGTTTCGGAATGTACAATTTAGCGTTTAGTTGGGTTTAAATAATATAGCGTCAAATCAATTACCTACTCTATCGCTTGTATATTAATATACACTACACTTTAATGATACAATAAATAAATAAACTCACACATACACACATATGCATTTATAACATTGTGTCTAACGTAAGTGTAACATGATAAAAAGTAACCGTAAAATGAAAAAAATGGAATATAAATTTTAGTACTCATATTAAATGTAATGTAACTCGAAAAATATTTGTTTAAATGAAAAAATATAAGATAATTTTTTTGTTTATAATTGTCTTTTA